TCGTTTACAATGATAGAATTGCTTAAAAAGTTTACTAGTTTCAACTTTATTTGCGAGTAGGTCTGTCTTTTGATCGATATTAGGTCTACTTGACTCGAGACAACCATGAGCTGCAGGGTGGGCCTATCTCCGGCTCCGTATACCATAATTCGAAATTATCTCATTACTAATTAGATAGAGTATATTCCAAAATCACTCTGCATCATTATATCTATGAACATTTTACAGCAAGTCTCAATTGTTTCCGCCGGAAAATCACAAATACGCATTGCTTATAAGCTTTTTATAACGAATTGTGAGAATGTTACGGTAGCCCTTACTATAAGCCTTTCAGTAAACTATCGGCGAGCTTACTTCAAGGGTTTGTTCGTATAATTTCATGAGTTGTTCTCGTAACAATTTGTCTTCTTGAAGAGACAGCCTCTTTTCTTACATTGTTAAAGTCGATTTTTCAATACCGTCTAGTGCCAGAGTAAGACATTTTTCTGCGTTTAAAGACGTTCGTTTCCCTGTGGCGAGTGATGATTGTGATATAGTGGGGTAATATTCTGATGCTTTAAAAAGGTTTCTCGAAGACACCGCCGACAGGCTAAGTAGCAAATTGAAAAGGACAAATAGTAAGAGTACAACGACGACACCCCCGTTAGGTTTCACATATTTCTCTGATTTAGAGATAGCAAGTTGCCCGATAATGGTTTCGAATTTGGGAGTCGCGCTGTATGTTGTGGGCGCATGCAAATATTGCCCCCAACAATCATTGTTGGGGGCAATATTTGGATGTTCTGTACTTATTAAAATGTAAAAAAAAATTCTGTACTTATTTATACTGCTAATGGTGACAGTTTTCCGCTTCGTTGTGACCTTCCTTTAGGGTAGAATGCGGCCCCGTTTGGCTGGCTATTCAAAATATGCAGTCGACCTTAGATTTCAGACGGACGAACATCATTTCAATCAGAAATGAAAACAGAACGAACTCGATACGAGGGTTGTTCTAAATGGAAGATAGGACAATAATCTGGTTCGTTTGACAGTTTACGCTGCAAACAAATTAAGTAATCAGGTTTTCCTTTTGTCCTTTTTTGAAAACTTGTCATCAGACTAATATTAAGCTTAAGCACATCTCAATCCAGCTGTTCTAGCTAGATTCGTATTAAGTTTTGGCTATACGGGAACAAAAAGGTCTGGTGATCTTACGAGTACTATATTTGTACGTTTGCGAAGAATTTAGATACAAAAAAGTATAGGACTACAGTATAGATTTATAAAGAATTTCCTCAGCGTAGTGCTTACTTCTGCGGAGAGCTATAGCTAAAATATCTAGGCTAAATGGCTGCCGTCTTCTGCAAGTCCCCGGCGAATGGTAGCGCATCTGCCTGCCGGCTACGTTTCGTTTCGGTTGTTTGCCGTCTTCTGCAAGTCCCCGGCGAATGGTAGCGCATCTGCCTGCCTGCTACGTTTCGTCTCGGTTGTTTACGTTTGAAACTGTGCTTCATTTGCTGATCGCCAGCTGTTAGAACCTATTTTGTATGGGTCATGCTAAGGGACAAACGCTCATACATTTTGTATGGGTCATGCTAAGGGACAAACGCTCATACAGCGTTTCTGCTTAAACTGTTTGCATCTGTTACCCGAAAATTTCGTGCGGTTGGATAGTTCGGTTCAATGGAATTGCAAAAGTCATTTCCTAGACAACGTCGTGTATTTGGAAAGAATTTGGGGTTGCAGCCTATGGTGGATCCTAAGCACCCTTACGCCCTGCCTCAGGTTTATAGCAGCGCGAGAAAAATGTGGCTTCATAGACGTACGTTGCCTTGAATACTTACGTTAGCATAACTTATGTACCCCCAGAGTATGCCAATTAAACCGATATGCTATTAATATTATTTAGTCTTAATTTCCATATGATTATATTTTAAGAACGATCGAGATACTGTTTCACTTAATTACAACATAACGATATCAATTATAGCTTCATTTTCTTTTCCAGTACTAACTAAAACTCACCCGGAATCGTTCACAATGCTAACCCGAAGGAATGAAGGCTAACGTAGACTTACGGCTAGTAACAGCTTTTTATCCCAACAAAAATATGGGGAACAATATTTGTTTCATCTAAACTACGATTCAGCCAACGATTCAGGTATGATGAAACGTACAGCTTAGATTAGTGAGAAATTTAGAACTGTATGTAGCCTGACAATACCCCATGATATCTTTGATGTAGCCTGACAATACCCCATGATATCTTTGGTCTCACTATTACTACACCATTCTTATTCTTAGTTCTTGAGTGATAAAAATCTGATAGGCCGTGGTCAGCGGGGACATTCCTTGTCCTTAATAAAGATCCTTAACATACTTGCGACAAGCTGACCAACTATAGACCTTACACAGCCTTTCTTTAATACTTCGTTCGCGCTCTTTATGCCTTCTCCTAACGTTGACGTGAAATACTTTCGCAATAGGATCACACTTGCCGTCCTTGATCAAAATAAAGCGTCTCCGAAATATATCCATTTGCCGCCCTTTTTCTCCTTTATTCAGCCTGTCTCACAACTTTGCTAGCAGAAATTATCAAATATCGTCCGCTGAAGCCTGTACGTTCCCTGTACACTCCGCTGCCCATGGCCGAGCTACTGCTGTCGGCACTCCTCGTTACCCTGATTTGCCTGATTTAGAAACTGCTGGATAGGCTTACAACCGGCCGCAGAATCACACCCTGCGTCTGAGTCGGCCTCCTCGAAGTCGTTGAGATCATCCTCATAGTCATCATCATCGTCGTCGTCGTCGTCGTCGTCGTCGTCGTCGTTCTCATCGTCCGTAACTTCTCCTGTGAAGTACAAGACGGCCCGCGGCACCAAGCGCTCGCGGAAAAACGATCCCAGACTCACGTCCGCTTGGAAAGCAGCCTCCAGCTCATGGCTCATGTTCTCGCTGTCCTCGACCCATTCTGGGTTGCAGAAGAAATTGAAAAACGACTCCGTTCGGACAGTCTTCGACACCGTGCGAGTTTCTCCAGTCCTTTTGTTCTTTTGCGTGTTCGTCATTTGCTTTTTCGTAACATCCTTCTCATGCGACTTCCAGTCAATCCTCGTGCCTCTCATAGCAACGAGTTCCGGACCCTCAAAATTAAGTGGGTCTTCCTCGTTTGGCTCAATCTTTAGTTTAAACTCTTTTGTCAAGACAGGGTTGTTAAAGTACTCATTGGAACTAAAATGAAAATGTAACTTAAACGACTCAACGTTATCCTCGACTACTATATCTGTGAGGTGCTCGAGAATGGGCTCATCCTCCTCCGTTACGAAGTCAGGAATGTCGTCAGCCACGTTCTTCATGCACGTTAGCCAGAACGAAGGGATGCCAACGACGGAAGCATCATTGGAAGACTTTTTATTCTGTTCGGCCGAAGTCTTTTCGACAGCATCGTTGAGGCCACATTCAGCCTCGGTAGGCTCGCACATACCGTTCACAATGTCACGCCGTTTTTCGGTTAATACATTATATTTTGTGAAGTACTTGTGCTCGAGCTCAGCAACCTCCTTGTGAAACTCTGCTTGTACCTTGAAATAATCAACTTGAAGTTTCTTTAACGCATTAACACGCATTTCTACCTGATACAGTAACGGGGAGGTAAAAACTACAGGCGTTCGTGAAGCATTTCCCAAAACGTCGGGGTGAGCAATCTGTTGCTGGTTCTCGACTTCAGCCATATTGTCACTTTTGTAATGATCTGTTGAAAGATTGGCAAGAAACGCCCTCGCAGAGATTTCGTATCACAGGATGGCGGGAAGACACTTAGAACGAGCTAGGTCGTTCGATTGCTAAGCAACATGCGCGTCGTTCGCATCCACTTTTAAAAGGTATTCACTATGACGCTTCGTGAAGCCCCAGGTCAATGAACGATTATAATACAGTGCCTCTGTGCTCAGGAGTAAAGTCCATTTGAGCTATGGCGCTTCGTTGTAGTTGTTCGCCTTGTATCACTTGATACTCTAAAGGTGAAATTTCGTCAAGCTTCTTTTGATCGAAGAGCGCGCTCATTTTTGAACCGTGTTTTTGCATTGTTAATTCTAGCGAAATATACGCCAATTTAGCTTTTATGGAAGCGCCTTTTGCCCAAAAAGTGTATAAAATCAATTTCTCTCGCAGAGATAGTAATGAAAATAGTAATTTTTGTGGGACAATATGTGAGCAAAGAAAGGGTGTGCGGTGAGCGAAAGCAGTAGATTAACAGGCACCATTAATACTGCGCACTAACGTAACTCGCCATAATAAGGTAATCGGATTTTTAGGAAGCAACAATATTTATTATAAAATATCACCTGATGGTGTTTATTGTTGTTCGTTCTTGAAAACCGCAGTGTTGAATAAGTCCTCTGGAGGAGGGCTATTCTATTTTTCTTTTTCTAAAAGTTGTTAAATGTACAAAAGTTACATACACCTTGAATTGAAAAAAAAATGTCGGAAGTTGTTCTTATTATGCGTGATGCATTGTCGCTCTACTGGAAGAGAATATTACACTAGAGTTTTCCATTAACGCACCTTGTATGAAAAAGACATTTTTCCTCTATGAACATCCGTAATTACTCAGCTTTATTAAAAATCTATGTTGGATTACTTTGCTCATGGGCCGACTGCGGCTATGCATATCGGTCGATCACTTGTTACTAGCATTTAGTTTCCTGATCGTCAAGAAGTGCGTAACCATCAACAAACCGTTTCCGCAATTGGTTGGTGCATAAAGTTATGATAAAGTTACAATACATGCCATTGATATTAAAGATAATAAATAACAGCATGTACTGTGACGTCATCTGGAAAATAAAGGGTTATGTTCATCTTACTCTATATACGATTCCGATAGAATCTTTACGGTAATGAGAGTTTGTTTGAGGACGTATTTAGTCGTTTACGCGATTTCAAAGTTAAAAGAAAAACTAAAACAAATCAAAATGGAAAAGAATCACAATAAAGATTAATAAAAAAAAACGTTTTTTTTTTTCCGTTACAGTACATTGTGTGGGACCTATGCTTCTAGCATTGGCAGGGCTTGAATCAGCGATCCATAATCTTTTTTGATCAGAGGTTTGGTAGTACAAGCCACCGTGTACGTAATGCGTAGAACCAATATAGAGTGGGAAGACGCTCACCAGTAAACACCGCTAAATCTTTCAGTCAAAACAAGCAGTGCAGCTAAAGCCGCAAGGGCTATCTTTGCTAAGAACCTGTAACCAGTATGTAAGAAAGTATACATAATTTGAAAAAACATTTCGTTGCAACCCTGCACGGGGCAAGGCATTATGACTGGGACTTACATTTTCAATGTTTAAAGAATTTTCTTGGAATAATTGCTTTCTATAAACGAAACAACATTTAAAGTTGGATCGTAAGTTTAAACGTTGGAACACATGAGTACTGTTATCATAATGACACACACAAGAGTGATGGACGCATCTTTCTTCCCTGTTATATGTTCCCCGTAGGAAACTAATTGCGAAGATCAGTGCTACTTGCTACTCATGGCCATCACAGTGACTCATTCCCCCGGCGTCGGCGTAGCAACTGGAGAAGTCGGATGCCTGGTTGTATTGCTTTCTGCGACCTCTTAGGTGGAGTTTTTCGTTTAGACATTTTAAGAAGACGCCGATAGTCTGACCAACGTACAACAGGCCCGACCCGGCATGCTGGTTTCGACAGCCGTATTCATGCAGGAAAGCCCATCTAACAATTTCCAGTAATATCAAAACTCCCTGTTATATGATCCGAAGTGAAATTCACGGGCGCGCTGACTAGAAGTAGAATCAAAGCTATAATACCAAACAGATTTCAATCTGAGCAAAATGATGCCAAGACATACTTTGCGTACCGTAAATTTAATGAAGTATATGTGTTTTAATGCTATTTTGCAAGCTATATCTGCAAGCTTTCTACTAGCAAGTGTAATTTCAGATTAATGAAGGGCCTTTCATCATGTCAAGGTTCATCAAAGGAGATGACATGTCACCGCACGACAAAAAATATCTCGTTGTTCATCTTTCAATTCCTTCAAGACTCCAACAATAGAGTGTATCCGTAGATGTAATAGGTAAACATATTCAAAATGGAATTGATATTCCGCAAGCAGTGAAGCTGATTTCGCTGCTTTACTTCATCCTGCAAGCTAAACACATGCCGTTTAATCATCTTGGTAGATACGCCAACAATTCTAAGATTCTGCACAAAGTATTGTATTTAATAGTCCACAAATCAAGTAGAGCTTTCTAGCGGAATATTTTTGCGGAGCCGCTATATCAGCCTTTATTTGGACGGATATCCGACTTAATTCTGAGCTGATCAGTATTCCGGCTGCAACACATTCTCTTCTTTAATTCATAACAAGTTGAAAACGCCACTTATCCTCGCCGTAGCCAAATTGTGCGGAAACCTGTTATTGAGGCTACACGTTGTTCTGTGCAGAATGAAATTGTGAAGGACAGTAAGGGAAGTTTCTTTTTCGTGCGGTTAGCGCAATCGATAATGGGGGAGCCGAAGGGGCCTAAGATGTTGCTAAAATAGAACAGTACGTACCCCTAGTTATAAAACCTCCACTGAACACACTACCAAAATCTCGAGCTGTTTCGGCAGTAGTGGCAAAAACCAATATAGGCATCCAAAATGCACGTTCTCTTTTCCAGAAGCCTCCATCCGATTTGAAGTAAGATTTGAAGCGGTTCAGAAGTAACGCAAAGCATACGAAGTTCGGAGTTTCGTGAAAGTTCCACAGTACCAAGTAAATACGTTGGCAGAAAGGTTAGTAAGAAAGAGAACAACAGAGTAAACAGCATTATTACTTATGTACGAACCTAATACAGCCAACACGGAATAACAAGTCTACGCCTAACGCATCATTCATATGACATAGAGTTTATAGGCCATGAAAAAGGAAATATGCGGCCATACACATTACAAATGGCGTAGTATGATTCACAATCCGACCGCTACCTGATAAACCGACCAGTAAGTCTGCATAACAATTTTTTTTTTCTCTAACTAGTACTAAAAGACCGATTCGCTCTATCGTATGTCCCTGATAAAGGACAATTGCCCGTTAGGATGATTTCCCTACGTACCTTACAATAAAAAAAAAAGTCAACAAACTTCTCAAACGTAACAATGAAAGGTTTTACTTTCAGAGGGACTCTACGGGACGAAGTGCTTCTTGTCAGTTGCCCTACGTGCCTAGTAGAGTAATCGAGGCACGAATGGTACAGCAGAAATCCGACGTAAATCGAACTGTACAGGAAAAGCGCGTCTACAAAAAACACGATTCAGAGAGAAATATATATGGTGCTCCATGATGCGTGAAAATGCAGTTCGGAGCGACGGCAGTAGGCACGATTGTGCCGGAGCTCAATCGACTGCTTTGAAAATGGCTCTTCTAAAAAGGGAGTGCGGAGCACTTAGGGTTAATAGTGGGACAGAACTGGAAGTAAGCGCAGTAGCTCATTAGGAAAGATATTTCCCGCCTGCACTGTCAGCACACATAAGTTATTTAATTGTGTAATAGAGAAACTGAAATGGAACAACAGCGAGCTACACCTTTCTAAACGTTGAAAAGATTATAGCTAGATTGCGACAATTTTCATAGATTAAATTTATTGGTGAATATTACATATATATATATATATATTAGAAGCTTGGAAATTGCTGCTGAGTCTGAAGCGAGCCATCTCTTGTTTGAAAGGCAGATATAACCCGCGACACACCGTTTAGTTTATGAGTGTGGGAAGAGATGTACCGTTACGCGTAGAAGACAATACATTGCTTAAACATTCGTGACAATTACATCTTCTATCGAAAGTATTGGATAAAACTCTAAAAAGAACTGATGCACAAAGCTGGCTAATTTTTAAAATTACCGCTTCTGAAAACCCTTTGCATTGTGATACGGATAAGCTTCTGATATGTCACATAGCTCGGCACGAAATACGTCTCGACAGTGGGACACGAACTCCATCAGGCCAACTCTCCATCGGGCCAAAAAGGATCGAATTATTCAAAAGGCTCAGTTTCAAAGCCTAGCAAAAGATTTCTCCATAGAAAGATTCAATTATCAATGAGATGATTGCTGTAAACGATCTCGACAACATGGCAGACCGTTTTTGTTGACAATGTAGCTATTCTATGACGATTTTTATGAGTAAGGCCCGGCGTGTGCATTTCACGGCTTTCGCAGCAGTACCGAAAAAGCTCCACAAGCAGAACCAAAGGTTCACTCCGGGCCGAGTGTCAGCTAAAGGAGACAAACCCATTAAAACCTGAAAAATTACTTGGAAAAAATAAAAAATCTTAGATATTTTTCGATTTTAAGAATGCAACATTAGCGGAAAGCATCTTACATAAAATATAACTAATGATAGAAAGAGAAATCTTGAAATAGCACTTCTATCAAAGACCAAATAATTAGAATCTACAAACGTTTAGATACGAGTGTCTCATAGATGTGCGTGGAAAAGCTGTTGAATACAGCCATATACGATTAGTACAATTCGAAACAATGAAAGCCTCGAACCAGCCGACCCTACGAACAACCTATACGTGCTTCGAAAAGTTTGTTAGTACATAAATGTGAGGAACCAAAATCTTCAAAGTGTTTTTTATAATTACATATAAATACACTAATGAGCTTATACACTGATCTTTACTAGAAGCATTACTATTATTAGCAGTACACATAAGGTTTCGTGCCGGCTAACGCAACGCAGCAACACCAGGCAACGGCAATCCAGGACATGAAACTCGAAAGCTCCTGGCTAGTCCTGTTGTTAGATTAAAAAGGTCATAGTTCTAAGTTACGTTGGGTGTTGAACGAAATTTTTCCTTGTGCATCTTACATGAAAAGGGATTGCTTGTTTTAATCATCTTTTATTCAACTTAAAATCTGTATAGATTTACACAGTTTGTCCAAAGACTTATCTAAAAATTACTTGACTTTATAATGTTTTGTACAACAGTAGCCTTTTATGCTAACTTATTTTGAGTTAATGAGAGAAAAATTTAGTCAAAATTCAAATTGTCGTTTTATAATTACCTTACCACTACCACTGCGACGGTTCATCAAGCAATCTGAAAGCTTCATCATAAAGTAGAAGTAGTAAAGATAAGTTAATTATTTTAATAAAATCAGCATGATGTTAAATTTATGTTCTCAAAATTATTTGATAACCAGTAGTTCCAAATTCTTGCGCAATTTTGGCTCGTTTAAGCAAAATCTTATTTTTATGTTTTTTCTATTTTGGGGCGCTTGCGTCAAACGGATATGACATAGAAGAAATTAAAAGTGAATGCAGTTAAAAAAGCAGTTCTTAGATAATGGCTGGCTGAAATAGGCCGCATGCGTTTGTTCTACACATTTATAATTAGCATGTAATTCCCCTCCAGCCATGCGTCTTCCGCTAAGTCAGTCGGCCTACATAACTAATTAGTGAGCTTTTTTATTTGATTGGTCCTAGCGTTTTACTGACTAATGTAAATTCGAATAGTCGAGTTCTTACGGAGCTACTTGTTAATAAAACTTTTCGTTGGAGACCGTATCGAGCTTGAATCCACACGATGCAGTCAAAATTTTAAGGCCCAATGGCGCCTGCATATGAGGCCCAAGTCTTTTAAAGCAACCAAATAGGTTTAAGGGAGCATGAAGCAAATATGAACAGAACGAAATCAATTACACCTCTTCTGAGCTAGCTACGATTTAATATTTACTGGTACGCTATTTACTGATATAATTTGTTGATAGCAACACGAAAATCTTATGTCAAATGGCTAAATTAAAAAGAACATTTAAGGTTCTTGTTTATCAGTAATAGGCTTACCTGCAGATGGACTGAAATATCTTTTGCAGTCAAAGCACAGCTTCACAGTCTTGAAGACACCCACAGACCCATTCCACTAAGGCAGAGCTAGTAGCTGTTACGTAATTCTGAGGCATGTTGAAAGATTTTCAACATATATGATTGAAACGAACTTCGGCGTCACGTTATTGTGATAGTGTGCGACTGTGCCTCATAACATTGACCTACGCGTTGTCATTGTGCACCGTAGATCATCTACACTGGACGCCATTAGACAGCTCCCCGGACTCATGTCCAGTAGAATTCATAGGCAACGCTTCTCCTAGAAGCGTTTATATTGTAGGTTATCATAAAAATCATAACTATGACAAATAACTGAATAAGCCCTTCGACGATTACTTCTTCTTGTAAGCATGCTACACAGTTGGAACTTTTGTGCCACGTTTTACGTGGCACGTGGTTACAGAGAAATATCTCATTTAGACCTCATTCAGTTGAGTTATGAATCATTTAGAAAAAATTGAATATCTAACATGAAAAATAAAATTTCAAATAACGTAAGACATATAACATATTTGACTGATCCACTCTAAATCGCTAGGTACATCTTATCGAGAAGGTAAGTTATCGGGAGCTTACTATAATAAGCTATCTAGATTTTGTATCAGCTGTATTTGTACTTGCATCGTTCTACCTGTACTTATGTAAATATCATGCAAAAGTCAGGCTAGAGCAGCAATTAATATGTAAAAAAGATGCCAACTGTAGTCCCTGTAATCAGCCAAAGCCACTGTTACGGATCCGGACATTTCATTCAATATTTAATCGATCTCGATTGGCCGGTCATGAAAGTTTTGCTGATGCCTATCTTTTTTATACCTATAACACTATTTCACGACAGTTTCATGCTGTTAATCAGTGCCAGACCTTTTAATGTGTACAACTGATTCGGTAAAAGAAACACGTACCACAGAGTATGTTTCAGGACGCTTTCATGCTTGTGCCTAGACAATTACCAGGATATATATATCATATTTTTGTTAGCTACTATAATATTGCGCAAAGCCTCAAATTTCCCACACTTTTTCCCCCAAAAGCCCACACTAACATCAGTCATGCACAGAAAGAAAAGCACATGAAAGCGGTAGATGGTCCTGGCACACCATTACTTCGAAAAAGGCATTTTACTGAAGAATGTGGTAATTTATAACAGAATAATTTTAGATTTGTTCAGCAATAGCATGCAGACGTCTCGATTTTCCGTTTTTCGCACGGTCTTATATGAACTATTTTCCCTCTAGTCGTTTAGGCTAGAGATATAACTCAATATATAGTCGGTATCTCTAGGCTTAACATAAGCTATAGCTTGTGCTAAATCAGCTAATAGAAAAGGCGTCGATTCCAAGTGTCGCTAAAAAATATATTATACAATTATTTAAGCAATGCCTAAATCTGAAAAATTATCGAGCGTAAACGGCTACATATAATATTTGGTTCGTGTGTACCTATAGGATTCGTGTGTAGCTATAGGATTTAATAAAAAAAAAATGTATTTTTTACAGTGATGTTGTCACACCGCAGTACCACTAGTTTGCACTAGTAACATTAATATGATCCAATAATGGTTTTTAAGATAGGATTGGCATGCTTTTTCAGCTCTTCTTTTTGCTCAATGATCCGCTTAAGTTTCTGGTCGTAGTCCAATGATTTGTCTTCCATAATGGCGTCACATTCTTTGCAGAATTCCTTCATCAGCTCTTCACAGTCCTACAAATCCAAAACACAGTGAAGTACAGTGTTGAAAAAAACGTTATGTGTACCTAAAAACTAGTATTTATTTATTTTTTTTTTATTTATAAAAAAGATTATCTCTAGTTAGCTCACTTAGTATTTGATATTTTCAACAAGTTCCCGCACTAACCGTCAGCTACCAATAATACTGCTTTCGCACATCATCGCGATTTAAATTTAAACACCTCTTGCCCAAAAACAAAAAAGTTTGTTTTTAAGTTAAAGCCTTTCAAAAAATATAACTTTATATTCGAAGGGGAAAATTATTTGTACTGGTGAATTTTTTTTGCGAATGCCTATAGAAATTTAACTAGTTGATTACTGCAAGTTACCTTAGTTAATTGATCCTGTTTAGCCAATTCGACAATGTGGTCCATCGAACTAAATTGAGCCAGTTTCGCCTTTGCCATTGAAATTATGTCATCCGGAAGTTCAGCCAGTTCAGCAACCTTTGAGGTTTGTAAGGGACATAAATATTGCCTGAACTACATTTTATTGACTATATTGAACATAAATAGTGTTGAATACAGATTCAAGATGCGGATAAGAGAAGCTGCCTTTTTTTGCAAAATTAAATTCGGAAATTCATGTGTAAATCAAAGTGAGCTTCAAAGCTGATTGCGCTTGAAAAGCAAGTTCCTTCTTGGAGGAGTATGTATTGACTAGTTAGCTTGTAGTTTACATTAAGGACAACTAGCGTAGTAATTTAATGTTTCCTACAAGAATTGGGAAAAAATCTATTGTTATCATTGCAACCAGCCAAACTCTTGAAACCCTCAAAATAGGAGAGGATCAGTTTGTATACTTCATTATATTTCTATTTAATATACAAATTGTTAAAGAACATGATCGTATTACCTCAATGCCAAAGCTCTGATGGCACGGTCCAGGAGCCACCTTGTATAGAAGGGTAAGTGCCTGGTCTTCAACATGCACACTCACGTGGGCATTCACCACGCCCTGAACTCTGGACTCTAAAGCCGTGAGCTCATGGAAATGTGTGGCAAAAATTGACATGCAACCGCTCTGGGCTAGATTTCTGTAAAATTATACAAAAACCAGCCCTTCATATGTTACAGCTAGTAGCTTACGCATGCCAACAGTTGAGTGACAACTAAATAACACACCCTTTAAGCTATTTGTCTGTGGCATTTTCAGAAACTGAAACATAGAATAAAGGGCTTAAAACGGGCAGCCATTGATTCAGATTCTACGCGAACTCGACCAGGCACGTTACAGAAATTTAGCTCAAAACTAAAACTTAATTCTAAGTTTTACTTTTATTCTAAGTTTGTTTGTGTAATTATCACAAATGTAAACGTGGTTTTTATCGTGGAGTCACAATGGAAGTTGTGAGTAAGTTGAAACAAAATTATTCTGGGCATTAGACACCTTGGTTAAGCAAAAAATGACAACGGAAGAAATCCGAAAATACTGGCTGACCATTTCCTCAACTAGATTGTTTTGATCCAATCAATTACATAGGTTAACTAGTAACTGTCTCAATCAATATATTCAGGTTCGAGCCTTGTTCTACTACACGTCAGATACGATTAAATAAAGAAAAAGCTAATTACTATCCTGAAAAAATAAAGCTTCGCGCTTTGGGTACCATTGGTAACAACATTTAATTTGACGAGTCGCTACTAAATCTATTGTTCTGTTCTATATGATACAATAAGAGTCATAATACTAAACGCATCCCGCGCTTGTCACGTTTCTTGATAATGGCATAGTGGTAACACTAAGGAAAGGTAATTCGAGCTTTTATTACATCGAAATTTGCATTATGGGCAAAGAAACTAATCTGTTTAGAGTAAGAGGGGCACTAAAACGGCAGTCAGATGAGAAATCAGGGATCCGCAAGCGCAGTGGTAATACTCAGTAGGCCGAAACTACACTTCGTTTGGTAGAATTCCCCCCTTTCATGCAACGTTCATATTGTAAATATAGGAACTCAGCCAATTGCCAAGTCTGAAAATCGAGCGAGTGAATTGATGCCTGTAGGCGCCTGTTGTCGAAGCATTTAATTTAGATTACACTGACGTTCATATGCGGCTTGTAAACAAACATGGCCAAGATCACTAAAGAACGGCTGGAACAAACGGCACTTGATGAGATTATGAAAGACACAGCGAAACTCACGAAGCGTGCCTAGGTAATCGGCGCGAGCAGCTGGAGAGCTTTAATCACGGCTAAACGCCATTGTTATGCAAAACACCCTTCACAGTATACGAAGCGACCACCGCAGCGAGAGATTAAGTGGGATGAGAACTCACTACCCAAACGACAAGGGTATAAATGACATTTTTAAATACTCCGGGGTGTTAAAATGTTCATTTGAAAAGGAATTATTTCATCTAATGATCTACATTACATATGGGGGGGGGGCAATACGCATCGTGAATGCATAAAATATTCCCATAGCTCCGAATCCATGAAGCAAATAGATGATTATTAGCCTATTTTTTGCGAAACCCACTAGATATAACTATGAATTACGTGATAACGGCCGGAGAGAAAGATTTTCGAGTAAAGATTGTAAAATGATGACGGTAATGTATCGTAGTCACCAAGGTCAAGACAACTTAGCCACGAGAAAAAAAATAGTTACGTAGGAGCGACAGGCAGACAGAAAATTATACTTCATGCTACAAAAAGCACCGTTACTAGACACCCTGACGATTTTCGGTATTACAGACGCAGTACAACCTCAATGAGATCTGAAAAGGATTCGAGTAACAGCAGAAACAGGTGACCCCGGCAATGAACAGTGCCGCTTCGCCATCGACGAGCGAAAAGGCGAAGAAGCCATTCCGCCAGCCGAAGTGATAGTGGTGGTAAGAAACGGTTTGGTAAAGAAGACTTTCACAGGAACCAGAATGGGCGACAGATCGAGGAAGACAGTACGCGGAAGGCAGTACTGAAGAAAATTCACACAGCAAGGCATGCTCAAGGACACCTAGAGATAATGTGATAGAAGAGAAACTCTAAACTGAAAAAGAGTGAAAGTGCGAAAGAGGATCGACATCAGAGGCGTCGGCGTCACGACGGTATGGTAGCATTAGCAAAAAGTGCGACAGAAAATCTAGCAATGGATGAATTCTCGAAGGGAGACGCGAAACGACAAGCTAGCACTTCGTAGGGAGCTAACAAAGATTTATTAACTAGCCCTAAAGCGGGCCATGGTGAGCCGTTGATGGCGCTTTCAGAAATGCGCGCGTTCAACAATGTCCCGAACTTGTATTCTCTCGCAATCTGTGATCGTTTCGGCGATTACGTTGACCGAGTCAATACAAGCCACCCATAGAAAGCTGGAATGTAGTGTAAATATAAACGTAAATAAAAAAATATATATTAAAAAAAATAGCAGTACGCTGATCTCACCAACGCACCAATAGTGGTCTACATGTTCCAACTTACACTACCCGCAGGACCTGGTTCCTTTGTTTTTTTTTTTATCAACCAGGCAACAAACCAAATGATTCAAATCCATTTGTTTTTTTTTTCTACATAATACAACTTTAGAGAGCAACTACGATGCCTTCAAACATTACGTAACCCATCGAGGTGGGTGGTCACGCCATATGGGCATTTGCGTCCTGATCGATTGGACAGTAAACAGCACGCAATATGAATGTGACCTGTGAAATACTACTTTATAGATTCATACTATGTATATTATTGCGAGGTGGGAACACCGCTATTCAGTTTACTGACGTCAAGTATATAGGTTGGGCCAGACAAACAATTTCAACACATATTCTGACGAACTATTTGGTATCTGGTCATCCGCATCGCTTTATTTGTTTTTACTCATTCGAAGCATATCAATCACATATGAATACTTAAATTAGAAGGATATTTAGTTATTTCGATATCGCGCTTCTAGAAAGCTCGTAGTAAATGTATATATAATCAGTATCGAAGGTATAGTTACAAATACATTGTAAGTTGAATGAATATTAGTGTACAATGCTACGTTAGTTTCACTGTGATCACCAGCCCACTTATTCAGTTTTTTTTTTTTAGCATTACGACATTCAGGAGAGCGATAACAGCTTAGCGTATTTTTTTTCCGTATTGTTCCATTATTATCGCCTTAAAAACTGCTGAGAACAAGTATATTTAGCTTAATTCTTACACGAATAATTAACTTGCTGTGTCTGTAGTAAAACTTGAAGATCTTAGCGAATTTTCGAAGCACGAACGATTGTAAAAGCTTTTAGAATCTATTTTAAATCGGCGAATTTTCAGATTACCAGTGGTGGCCTGGACACAAGTAAGTAAGACATAGGAAAGACCTAAGTAATTTCAAATATTCGGTACGTACGAAGCAATAGCCCACGCGATCCCAAGTCCATCATATGTAGACGTTCCTCGGCCGAGCTCGTCAATAAGTACTAGTGATGCGTTAGTGACTGTACGAAGAATGAATGCTATTTCGAGCATTTCCGCCAAAAACGTAGAAACACCTGCAACGCCAGTTAGCCAAGTGAAGATCCTTGTATAGAACGCAATATTTCAGTCAACTCCGCATGGACGTAAAGTCATCAACGAAGGTGTGCAGTCTTTTTATCGCTAACCAGAAGGCGACATTGGCTTTGTGTTTGCACTAAAAAAGGACCAAGCGAATTCATTAATCGCCTAGCTGGCGGCTCTTTTTTTTCTTTTTCTTTATCTCGATTCGTATTGTAGAGGTATAGCGAATATGTCTAAATCTAAAAGTTATGATGGAACCAACTACGGTTTTATCTACTTGATCTACGTCATTTTGTGACTTATGCGTAAGCGCTATTTTATTGCTATTATATTTTATTTATTTTATTGCTAGTATTGGGTTTGTATAGTAATTACTTACCGCGGACGATAGCATCCCCGGCGCCAACTCGTGTTAGCACTGCATCTCGAATAGCTATTGTCGCCTCATTACACGGCACGAAGGAACCCATTTGAGCCATTACAACGCAGACGGCAATCTACCTCAAAAGAAGCAATCCGCCGTGAATAGCAACAGCGATAGGTTACATCATAGTTTTTTTCCTAGTACACGTGGTTTTATTCATTATCCCATATACAACCAATAAGCTAAATCTGCTCAAAAGTAAGTTCACTTTTAAAATGTCCCTTTTAGCTGATCACCTACCGATCGCATATAGGTCGATTTTCCACCCATATTTGGTCCAGTCAAAACGTGAAAGTGCTTATTCTGACGTTCGAAGTGCACGTCATTGGCCACAAAACTGCCTCGTTTTCGCTCAACTAGTGGATGACGGACTCCTTTAAGGATCAGTTCCTTGCCTTCCGACTCTAGGATCTATAATGATTGATCGAAGGCAAAATGAAGAGGTGAGTGAGGCTACTTTCTGTACCCCTGTAAGTCAGTAATGATCAAGCACAAAAGTTCCGATGGGCGTGGCTACGCAGCTTAACCGGACAAGATCTTCGGACGTGAAGCCAGAGTCCGCCAATTGTAGTCGTGTCCTGTGGGAAAACTTCAATCGTTTCGTGTTTACTTACATTGGGGCGGACAAAATTTCCATTGACGGCGGCCACAGAAAGACCAACAACGGCGTCGAGCTGATTAATGACTTCTGCCAAATGGTACAACGGCTCAGCGTAACCAGCTGATACCTGTATCAAAACCACATTTCAACTGGGTCAGTACAGAGTAGACTGACTAGATTTAACAAGACACTATGCTATATAATAATATCAATATCTGTAATAATCTATGTTATGTAATTGAAGCTAAATGTAGAACTAATCCAGTTTACATCTTACATCAATTATGTCTCCAACAAGAGTTTGCTGCATGACACGATAGTCATTCTTTAACCGAATGTAATCCCCATTCAGCTCCCGTAGCTGACGATTCACAAACGAGATTCCCTGCTTTTTTACGTCGATAATATCAAACGATTGATTATCTCGGATTCTCTTTTCCTCCTGCAGATCAAAGTGATAAAGCATGTTTAAGCCACGAGTAATTTGGCTGCACTATGTTTTCTACAGCAATTGTCGAGTACATTATTAGCGTTACGGTTGGCTATTAGTGATGCGGGATCGTAGATGTCAACCATAGCGAAACAGCGGATTAGGTCTTGTTCCTCATAAACTGTTCCCGTATTTAGAAAAACAATTCGCAAGTCTAACTTGAGTCACTTAATTTCGGCATATGCGTAATAACAGAATGTCATCCAACGAATTGGTATACCGAAGTTAGTATAGTTCAAAGGTCAATTTTTCGTGCACCATGAACACTCCCAACAACACGGTACATACAATGCCTACGATAACACAGTCTCTTTGTTCTGAAGAAAGAGGCTTTATCTTCAATTCGCAGACTGAGTCTGACCTTATTGGTTACGCGGAACACGAAGCCGCCATCCAGACCCTGATCCAGCTTGAGGACGCGTCCTTTCTCAACGCGCATTTCGCAAGCGACTGTATCCCACAGCTCCTGTAACCTCTCCTCACAGCCAACGATTTGCTCGTGGAGCTCCTGTAGAGCTTCGTCGAATGAGGGTTGAACCAGGTATTCGCGTTTAGCCTCGGCCCTTTCCACATCAATGACCTAATTAAATGGCAATAGCAATTCATCAGAATTGACGTGACGCCCAACTATAAATTTACGGTTGCCAGTGTTCATGCAGCTGGCACATAAAAATATTTTCTATACTCGAAGAGAAGTTCACGCTTGCTATTATGTAAGAAAAAACAAGCCTAGTACTAATTCATGCTTTAACGCACATATATGTATGGTATATATTTGTACCTGTTCTATCATTTCGATAAATTTTTCGAAATCTTCAACAGACACCTTCAGCCTCTTGACGACGGCATCCTCAAGACTGCCGCAGTTTGTCTCCCCGAGTGCTTCGACTACGCGTGGTACTGAGCGAACTTGAAACCAGAACCGATTCACGTATATATAGGTCACAGAAGGTGTTTTCACAGGCTTTCATCTAATAAACGGGTTTCTTGCATATTCTAAGACACACTGGAAGCTTGAGGTAGGATAAAAATTCAAAATAGAAGGATCGTACCACAGAAATATCTGGCAAGATCTTCTAAACTCGGTTTTAACAGGCTCAATACCGAAAAAAACGAAGTTGTCTTTTTTCTTTTCAATGAAGACACTTTTTAGTTCTAGATAGACAAAATTGTTTGTTCGCAATCGAGAATCACTTACCGATTGTGTAGAGCTTATAGAGATCCGCGAGACGAATTTTTTTCATGTGGAGCCGTTTTGCCATATAACTGAGATCAGGGAACCTTCGAAGCAGGTCGCCATGCAAGGTAGATCGAATGCTATTATCCCGGACGAAGCATTCGACCATATCGAGCCTTTCCTCTAGAGGTTTATAGAAAGACGTATAATCCGTAGACTGTCCCCCACTGAATCGTATTAAACGCAATATATCCACGACGCTACAACTTTCTATTTGTAAGTTTAACTACTTCATTGCTCACTTACTCACTTGTAGACTCAATGTCTTCAATTCATAGGTAGACTGCGAGAAAAGCCAGCAACATTTTGATAAAGTGTACGCTTGCCTGTTCGGTTCATCCTTTATTATGAAGGAAATACTATACTGCGTACATGCTTTGCTTTTTTTTGTAGTAATATGCACAAGTTATTTTCTACATATGTATTAAACCCACCAATTTTGGCCTTATCGAGCAGTGGCTGTTTCATCCATTCGGCAAGCGTTCTCTGACCGCCCGGAGTACGAGCCTCACAGAGAAGGCCATATATCGTGTCCTGCTTTGCCATGTCACCAACCGGAAGCAGATTGAGGGCTTCTACAGCTGCTGAATCGATACGCATGATCTGATCAGGTCGTAGTTCATGTATAGTGAATTGGCCGAATGAGGTAGGTGTCGACGCCAAATTCAGATAATTCAAAAGAGCTGCTAAAGGCCGTCTTGCAGGTTCCACCTTCAGCTCCGCTGTAAAATACAAGACACGTATCACAAAGCAGTCAATATCGAGTGTGAAAAGCTCACAATGAGAACACCGCACCGCTTTTTATTGAGAGTAGACCCTGTTGTACGAAAAAAACGGAAAGATAAAACAAGGCCGTTTTAATGGAGGATTTTCTAGATCACATTCGGGTATAAGCCACTTTGCCAAACACATAGTATTTTGCAATTTCTTCCATACAGGGGATTTGTATCAGATTCTATGACAATCACAAGACTTCGAGGATTAAAGACTGTCACAACAATGACTCAATTAGTGGAAAACGTTCTTAAGAATGTAGGCTAGCTAGCCTTTACTAATAAGGCATCAACCCTTAGTGACTTTTGAGTTGTTTAAGTACTCACGCAAGATTCTGATGTTTTTAGCTTGCTTCCTTGCGAACTTGTAGATTTTTTCGATATCTTGTTCCAGATTTTTGTCATTGAAGTGCTCGTGACCCAGCTCATGATAAGCTATGTTATTGCGCTTAAGCAACTGGGTCACCCTAGGAAATGACTCAGTTTTGGTCGGTATTAACATCTCTTTCGGACTAATCTGGACGAGTAACACCTAATCACCACAACAACCACATATGAAAAAATATATCAATACTTCAATAAGTAATTATTCAACTCGAGAAATCGAGGATTATTTAAACGGATTCAAAATGACTAGACTTTGTAGATACGTTGCAATCTTGAAGACGCGGTGTAAAAATTACTGATATAGGGATCAGTGGTTGCCCTTATTATGAATTTCTTTAAAAAAGAAGGAATCAATCGTTATCATCAAAAAAAGTTATATTTGTTACACATACTAGAATGAGCTCGTAGTTATTATCTAATAGTTTTATTAGAACAATAGGTCTGATGTTGATTGCTCCTAGATACTTGTTGAGATATTTACAGGAATCGCGGGACATGCTGCGCATCATAATACAGATTCACGGCATTTCATATGGAGCTAAAAAATTGTTTTTTTTTTATTCATATTTAATGAACGTCGCATTACCTGAAGTTTTGTCAGAGTCATGTCATCGATCAGCTGTGCCACGCGAAGGCTCTGAAGAATGGGCTCGCAATAGGCCAGTCCGACCACGACTTGTTGTCCTCTATTTGTGACGTGAAGAGCAGCAATGCCGCTGCAATGTGTATTGACATCTTCATTTGAATCACACGAAAATAGCACATCTTCAACTTCCACGAGATTCCCGGGGGAGGCGTTTAACGAAACTTGCCATGAGCCGCTAGCAGCATCCTATTCCATTTATTAGAAGAGGGAAAAGCAGATTTTAGAACGAAACCGCAGGAAACCCTGACCCATATTGTTCTCTCTACGCACCGGGCCCATGTTGATGATAAATATACGTGCCTTCGAAATAAAGCTGAAATCGTCCGCGAATTGCCATATGTAGTATTCATACAGGATACATTAGATAAAAATTTTTGAATGCAGAATGATATCCATTAAACTAACCAGCGAATAGACTTCAACTCGATAGGCTTTAGCCAGTAACAGGAATCGAAGGAATTTCTCGTAATTTTTTTGGCTGATCCAAGCCGATGGAATCCCTTGTATTTGCACAATAGATACTTTCAGCAGTTGGGCAGAAGCCAACGATGCATCATCGTCGTGCACGGTGTAATAGTTCTGTCAAGACAACGGCGTTAGTAATTATAATAGTAATAATAATTCAGTTATTATAAATTCGTTAAAATAATAAAACTAGCCACACTTTAATTTCCTTATTGTGTTACTCTATGAAGCCACTTTTTTCATGATGATGTAATGTCTAAGGAAAAATCGAGTCGCGTTTGGTGTTTTTCTGAATAACCTAACTTAAGTATTGTATTACTATTTCTTACCTTGCGTTGAAACAACCGAATCGTTGTCGCCGGTTTCTGAAAGTATGAATCGAACGCAATATTTAAATATTTGGATACATATTTTTTATGCCCTCGGTTACTTTTGCTGTGTGAGCAAATTCGGAATCACCTCCTCGGTGTAGCATCAAGGACCTGCCCCTATTCGGAGCCTAACCGAAGTGGGTTTTGCTGAACCTATCTGGAGTTAATCTAACGAACCGAAGAAATGGAGCAGTAACCATAGCAATAGTTCTCCCATATAATAACCTAGTGGAGAAGCAATTTTTCGTAGTTTGCATGTTTGCTTGTTCATGTTTATTGTGATAAGGCGCTCAAACCTGAGTTACGCCGCTCCTTGATTTAACACATTTGCGAAATGTCATTTCTGTAGGTGTTTGTGTGATCTGAAGGTTTATCCGACATGACGTAGATGATTTATGCCAAAAGAGCAGTTCCCTGCAAACTAATAGCATTCATTTGTTGTCTATTGTTTCCATTCGTCGTTCAATTCTATGGTGTAATGCGTAAAAGCGCATCGTTGCTACATGTTTTTTAATTGTGGATGCCTCTGCGATGTTTAGTGTAGGCGGTGAAGCGACTAACAACAGACGATACGTAACTACGAGCCAACGTTCAGGTTATGCCTTTTCTGCCCGGCAAATCATCGTCCTCATATTTATCAAGGAAGATTGATTGCCGAACTATTTTGAAGACAGTCACCAAAAGTGGCTATTTGAAGTGGCTCATTGAATAACAAAGGCTCAAGAGTTCGCGTTGATGCTAAGTGGTTCAGGACAGTTCATCACCGAAGAATGCCCTGATATTTAAAATTCTGAGCGTCTAGAAAAACAAAATGTCTAGAAAACAATCTCCATAGTTTAGCTAGTATTTTTAGCGTAACCGGATAAATTACAAAATGAATAAAAGAAAAACTTATAGTACAAACTATTCATGTTTGTACACCACTGAAATTACATATTGTTCTATTGACAGAGACACGTTTGTTCAATTCAGAACGAATAGTTTTAATATAGATCGTGTATAAGAGTAGCTCTTTCACAATATTTCTTCTAGCGAAGCTGATTCGATCTTCTGGATATTTGCAAGTGACTACAGTAGAGATTGAACCTAACAGGTTGTATTGCATACTGGCAACTTTGCGGGATTATTTTAAGTGGACAAATTGGTGCATGGTCCTCGTAAGGTTTCACTGATTGAAGGTTGGGAGCTATTCGCCTGCATTCAGATTTCAAGTTGACAGTCATTTCTATAGCACTGGATAAATTTTGGTCTATAGCTGGTATTTCACTATGAGTTACTGTAACAGCGCGATTGTTTACGAGCTCTTAGTAAAGAGCAGCGTTTCACTAGTTCTCAGTTGTCTTGACCACTGTATTGGGTTGTGAACCCGACTGCACAACCCCTTCAATTTAACATCAAAGAATAACAGCACAAGCAAAAAAGGACTACAAAGTAAACTCAAATAACATCATGTAAATGTGGCTAAGCTGTTTCAAGTAGCACCGTTCTCTAGATAAGCATAATATAAAAATAGAGTACGTTATATTATTTGTCACGATGACATATGATCTGGTGGATAAATGCAGATTTAAGTCAACCAAACTGTCAAGTATTTGTCGACAAGTTGAGTCTAGGGCGTTATGTTCTCTCTTTGAAAGAAAGTGTGTTAACAAACTTATCAAGTTGCCTATCAAATAAGAATTGAATTGTAAATGACAGTATGCATCGATCGCTGCGTTATCACCAAATAAAGAATTGCTTTGATGCAATTGGTCGAGAAGTTAGGGTACTGAAGCATGTTGAAACTCGTATAATCCTACCCAGAAGCACCAAAGACGCAACAGAAGCCCTAACTATTGACTAACATTTACACCTTCCAGACACTTGTGTTTCAAGCAAAAATGTGTAGCCATACGGCGAAATGTTTTTACACCGCAGAAGGTTATCGGTGGCACATGTGGCTTAAATAAAAATTAAAAATAAATTAAATAAAACCGATTTTCCTTCTATAAACATGGTCCCTGTTGGAAACTATTCATCTCGATCAAGTAATAATCACGAAAACATTCATACTAACGTTTAAAATATCTCTTTTCCTTTTTTTAGTTTTCGCATACTAGAAATTTATCGGCAAGAATGTTTTAAAGAAGTCAGCTCTGAAGAAGCTACATTTTACGAGCCTAGAACAAATGTATTACAATATTTTTGGGTAAAAGTTGAAGCGATTAACTTTACAACCCAAAAATGTGGGTAGTTGTATCTAGTTAAATTCCGCATAACAAAGCAGTGAATGTACGAGCGGTGCTTATCGTAACTGAAGGTGACTTCAGACGTATCTCTTAGTTAAAACGTTAATTCAAAAACAGGGAAATTGTAAATACTTTTATAAACTATGCATATTCAACTGTTTCAGTTAACGCGACCAATCACATCTATAATTACCACAAATCAGTTGAATAAAGTGATTTTATAAGAATCAAAAAAGCAAGGGTGTCTTCATAATTTTCCTTCATCACAGCAACAAACAGCAGATCGCATACTCATCGACAAAACCAATACTATCTATTGGCACCTTGTTTATTTCTGTATAGCACAATGGAAAAAATAAGATAAGAAAGGATAAATTACTGGTGGAATTCGTTCGATGGCACATGACCAAACAAAATTCTAGTTCGAGTGTATTACGTCAGGAGCACAAAATCGATTCTAACGTCATAACAAAAGGCGAAATTAGTGGTATTCAAAGTAGGCACATCAGGAGTAGGTGATCTTCAGCGGCAGATGTCCATCCCTCCTCCCGCCCGTATCTTTGTGATACAGAGGATTGCTGGCAACTAGAAAAAAAAATTCCGTATATAAGACATTCCCAGGCTATCCCTGTTGGATACCAATGATAATAATTACATAAAGTTTTAATAGGAGAAAGACAATAAATAGCGCTAAATAATTATAATCCTTTAAGTGGGTAAAGGATTTCTTTTAAATATCGTTTTTCTAAGATCGGCTTTTTTTTTAAATTAAAACAAGGCGTTTGTGCTAATATGAAAGCATGTTTGAGGAATTTCCAGAACAGGGAAGTAGTACAAACCTTTGCTTAGCTTTGGCTAACTTATATTATACTCGGATTTATGACAAAAACTTCAAAATAAAGGGAAAAGGAGACAGTAGTTGGACCCTTTCATTGAAACCATGTTTTTAATTATTCAGAATCAGCTGAAACGATTGTGCCAATTTGCGTTTGTTCGCGCAAAATACACGCAACACAATTCGTCTCCTTAGAATCGAGTGAATAACTATATTTGGATAGTAAAATAGAAGTGAACTCAGATAGTACGACTGTTTATATTAAAATTCAGTAAATTTTCTGAGATATATGATGTTGTTTATATGATGATTTAAAATAGGAAATATAATAGTTAACAACAGTTAAATAGGGAAGTACCACAAAGCAAAATTTAAGCAGCCATTTGTATACCTGATTCTCTAAAAACATTTTATAATCACATGTTTTATTAAAAAAAGAAAATTATATTTCCATTAATTTTGAAGCACTTGTAACGGTATAGATAAGCAAGATGCTCGACAGCTAACAAAATCAATGCTCTGAGAATTGTAGATAGTTTCGAGATAGGCTAAGGATCCTTAATAGGTGTCCCAGCCCTTTCGCATATATTGATTCAGCACAGCTTTCAATCAGAATAATAATAATTGTGTTAAACAATAGGTTATGAAAAAATATTAATTCCCTCTACAATTCCCAGCATCAATCAGTACTTAAAAATCTTCACCGGAGTCTCTGAAGATTCAAAATAAGCGACGTTTTTGATGCGGATAATCACCTACGCTATCGTGAATTCGCACGCAAAGTTAATATATTTTATTTAAAGAACAAAAGTAATTCTAATTAGACGTACGACACGAAGTTTCATTACGTTAATCGATCATCCAACTTGTTTTTATTATCGAGTTGATCCTATTACTTCATGCCTTTTCATTGTTTCTGACAACTAGAACTTATGATGTTTTTTCTACTGATTGTAATTGCCGTACGACCTCGGATCAGTCACGTATGGCTTCGTTCGGTCTATATTCCTCATTGCTCACCTACAGATGTAGATCCGATCTATCACAACTATAGCTCATTAATTGTCAATGTATTACATATATGCCTCTCATCAAATCGGCCAAGTGTAATTTGTAATTTGACTATATTGTATCGTCCATTTTTAAATATCCAAGATTACAATTTATACAAAACGACTAAGAAGATATCTAACTTATCGATGTCTCTCTTTTTTTCCATTTCACACTTTTTTTTACATTGAGTATCCTGCCGTTTTAGTAATGCTTATAGAAAGTTGCTAGGCATAAATCAGAAGCCTCTATGGTGATTGCACAGAGGAAACTGCTGTAAAGCTTAATCGATGTGCCTCGTTAAGGCAAAAGTGTACTTTTTTTTGTCTCTCAATCTAATTTAAAACACTGGATGTTTTCGAATCACTAATCTCTTGTTATCTAAACTTACATCATTTATCAGGCATTTAACTTCTAGGCAGTTGCGCTGTGGCAGGGTGAAAATTTTGTTAAAGTCATAATTCATAAATTTAAATTGTGTAATCTATATAACATGCAACGTTAAAAGAGACTGCAACACCTTTAAACCCTTATTTTTACACATGGCTTGCCTCATTCCTATATATATACATAGATCAGAGAAGAAAAAGCCATTCTAGCTCTGAATAGCCTCAATGATTTAATCATTCCTCGATTTGTGTTACTGTCTTTGTTACTGAACGCATTCCATATTGATATATATCCGAGTCTGTTCCAATATAGGGCAATCACAGTTGGTTATGGCATCGCTTCAAAATCTTTCCGTATATCTAATATGCACTGTTGTATTATCTTGCCGCTGTTATCGTCATATTTTACCCTCACAAGATTCATTAAATTCAAATTTTTAAGCTTTGAAGGAAATCTTGTAATCCATCTAACAAAACGTATGTCACATATATATACAATGCCGTTAACAAACGACTGCCTGTAGTGCTCGTACATAGCCAGGTATAAAATATTGTTTTTATATTTACAAGCCTAACGGTCTCTATTTTGAGTCCTTCAAAAGACTCACAACATAAAAAATTGTCCGTCGGCATCTTTCAAATTTGTCTATTTCTGATTCGTGCATTCACATATTCTGTGTACTAAGTACCATTTGTACTAAGTGTACATCTAACAGATTCAGAGGTCTTTTGAAAGTATTATAATGGCACGTTGATCAACTTAAACCAAATATAAATTACGCTGATTCAGTTGTAAGTTAATGGAACTCATCCAGTCCAGGGAACTGATTCTGTTTATTTCTAGGCGCCCATATACATATATGAATATTTGTGGATGTCAGTTCTTTAAACGGATTTTCAAAGAAATTCAGATTACAACGGCTTTCGTCAGAGTGGATCGTACTCAAAACCCACTAGTTACCACTAGTATTTTATCTAGTTTTCTAGTATTAGTCATTGGAAGCATTTTCGTAGTAATTCATCCATACATATCATTATTTGTGCAAAATGTATATCCAATTACGATTGTCTCTTGAAAGCTGAATATTTTGTGAACTTCCTAGACCCTGCTATCGGCTGTCGATAGTAACTAATATATTGCCCTAATTGTCGGAAAACCTATTGAGCGTATAGAATGACACGATGCCGCATTCGAGGAACGAGCAAAATGTTTTATCGTTTTTTATCATTCTATATGGCGTCTTGGAAGTAGCTGCACGGGAAATGCCGTTGGTTCATTTTCCGAATCTACAATAATCTTCGTAATCTTCAAAGACTGCTTGGAGTTGAAGATAGTCGTGACTTTCAGCAGGCCACAGTACGTGCGTTACGACTGCGTAGGCAAGGAAGTCTGCGCAGGACACAATGCCATGAATGAGGTTCTGTTTCCATAAGGATGAGACCTGCGAGGCGATTATGGCTAAGATCGGAAGATAGATAAACCAGCATAGAAGACCGGCTGCTAAATGCAGATAGAAGCGTAGTTTACGTCCATTGTTCTCAAAGTGCATCGTGGATTGAAGTTCTCGTAACATAAATAGCATCAATGCCATACGTACGGCCAGGACCAGACCTCCAGGGTAGGTTTCAAACTCGTCAATTTCCTTGATCGGATCAATCTCCGTGTTCACCCACACATACAAGATGATATGAGCTACAATATATGTTAGCCACAAGAAAACAAGCAGACGTTTTCCAGACACTTCCGAGCGTGTGATCGCGTAACCACGACTTATAACTAAAATTAGGACGACGAAGAACGACTGCGCAAATATATAGGCAATCTCTCCAACCACTCGAAGTGTCGGTAGACCTTCACCGTTCGAAGCAAACAGGATGATGTGCAAGAGCGTTGCTAAATGCGATACAAATTGTAGCAGTACTGCCATAAAGAGTATACGCGTTAACGGGTGTCGCTCCTTGTTGACCTGAACACGGATATGTAGTGCTAACAGGAAAAAGTAAAGACTGAAAAATATAATAGTACGTTGAAGTGAGCCCTGTTCTTCGAACGAGAATTCGTCGTCGAATGCGGTCGATTCATGTGGGTGTCCATTAACAAGGTGGATATCGTAGTCCAGAGTTAAATCATCGTCAGCAGAACTCCTCCAAGTGCAATTTTTTAGATCGCGATAGCACGCCACCAACGTAACGTACCAAAAGCGTGGTGTGTGCATATCGCGAACCGTATACGTGAACTGACTGCGTTTTAGGACACGTGACGGTGTATCTTCGTCTTCACATAGCCGGCCTTCGGGACAGGGCAAAGTCCTGAGGAAGTCCTGGGTACCGTTTGGATTACAGCGCCGATCAAAGGCGTCCTTCTGCAACCGGCTAAACATTGCTGTACACGCATCCTGAAATAGTGTCCGATTGCCCCACAGTGTAAGAAAATGCTCTCGTTCAACAACAACCAATGTGGCTCTAGGAACGGTTGCCGTCGTGCCGTTGACAATTGTAGCAGCTGCTGGCAAATTTTCTTTAATTATTTGCTTTTGCCATTGGCTTTCGCCCTTTGTTTTCGCTGTACCAATACCTGCGGTACTTGTACTAACAGCAACAGTAGTTCGTCCACTGGATGAAGAAATAGACGATTCCAAAATAGCGGCCCTAGCATACCGTCCTCTGCTTGGACTAGTCACATTACCATAGATATATCCTAGCGTATTGACATGATCATGGTTATCCGTTTTTTCGAAACCGAACTTGGCCAACAGTTTAAAAAAATCATGAGATTCAAACCGACCGCGCAAGTGAAGCGCTTCAGTGGAACAGATGTTGGTTCCTAGCAGCAGCAGCGATACTGCCAGCTGTAGCTGGTGAGGCAGCAGCTGGCATAATTTTTGTCTTTTCATTGTTGCGGTAGGCAGCTGGGTCCACAGTAGCAGATGTTGCTGACAGACTTATTTTCTTCTTTTGAGATAATATAGTACCAGCTGTCCGTAAACTTTGCCACTCATAGTAGCCGCCTTCTCACACCCAAAATGGGAACTCGGCGTTTAGCACGAGCAAGGATCCAATCCACATGGTGATGGTTAAACAAATCTTTTTCTTTTTTCATCAATCACTATAACAGTGCCGACCTTACAAACTGGCACTCACGGTCACGACACGTTTACTGCCATATCAAAGCGTCAGCATCACATAAATATCATAGGAGCGGATGGATACACGGCTAAGCGCACGCAACGGAGTCATCGGCTAACAAGATTACAAAGTTAATCGAAGACACAAACTGCCTACCATCAACCCGTCGCGCGGCGTTGTAAACAATTTCGCGCTCACCGAACTACTGATCACTCACTACTACGCTACGCCCGCCATTCGCGATGGCGGTCAACCAGTTGCTACCGCCCCTACTGCATCAAGGTATCAATAAAATGCAAGGGGGCACTCAGCTTACGTTGAGCGGTTGTAAAAGGGCAGCAGTGCTTCTGTGAGCGCCTATTGGACACTATAGAGTGAACCATATCGAACCAGCAAAGGAGCAAGCAAGAGTTCCGTTAGACATAGCAAAAAAACGCTCAGCGTTGTTTCTCAAATAACCAACGACTCGTGTTCAGCAATCGCGCAGAGGAGGCAAATGTAGCTGTTAAAAACTTGCTGTTAAGAAAAACTCGTTCTACAGCTAATGAGCATTTCCAAGAACGACAAAACTCAACAATACCAACTCACTAGTTCGATTGATTCACACGGCGACGACCACCCATTTCCAGTCGCCACGGACAACTACTACTTGAAAACAAAGACTGATCAGACAGACGGACGCTCATTGATCTCAAATACTTGCTAACTTGCTTCTGCCCAGTTGAGGTAACATAGTCATAGCACCCTCCTTTCCTGGAAAAGGGGAGACACCATGACATTACGGGTGTGGTACCAAATAGTACCACGGTCGCATGGGCGCAGGAACTTGGAAACTAGCGTGCGCACACCCGTTACATTGTAGTTTCAATTAACATTTGAGTGAGAAGCACCACGTCAAAAGATGCTGCTAAGCGTACGATAGTGATACAATTTTATTTGAGTTCATATAACAGCGACACTAACATCAAGTTGTTGCTTAGTATAATGATAAGCTTTGAGAACCACGTGGTACACTAACAAAAGAGCAGAAAACGTAGAACAAGCAGGTTCATGCAGAATAATCACAAAGATTATTTATTTATACACTGACATATATTTTTGCTCTAAGGCTTTGCTTTATTATTATTTTCTTTAAAACAAAGGATTCTCAAAGTAGAACTGTTCTAGAAAAATAGCATAAGACAGTTTAGCTCTTTGTTCAAAAGAGTTTTTTAAAAAATCAATCTGGATTGTAGAAGTCTATAAAGGGAGAGATTCACGACTAGTACCTACCGAGGGAAGATTTCCATAAAATTTGATGAAGTTCGTGTCACGTGCCACATCTGAAAGTAAGCCAACATGGAGTTCTTATTAGGACTTCGGATTAAAGAACTAAATAGCGTGCTACAGCAATTGAAATGATCATAGAAATTGCAGTATTTCAGAAATCATTACATTCGCAAGGAAACTGCAATGAACTTGACATAAACATTGCCTTTATCTGGTACACATTACTTTAGTCATACAATAACTATTTACCTATTTCGCCCTACAGATAGGTTGAAAAATTTGTTCATTATCGTCTCATGGTTGCTATGTTTAGACACTGTGTCTTACACAAAAAGTTCGTTAAGCTTGGCTCAAATGAGCGTATTTTCATTATTTTTTACATAAAATGGACAAATTATATAAATTACATACGTCTCTGATCAGTTCAACCTAGCACTTACTTGGAACACACTATCTACAGTCTCTTCGAAGCCTTGATTTATGAGAATTTCGTTACTCTGCGAGGAAAGTTTCTAGGAGAAGCTAAAGCCATGAATTTCGTGTACGAGTAAAACAAATTAATCGTGCACTAAGCATATTGGAGCATAATAGAGCGTGGTCTGCAGTTTCAATGAGTGAATACGGTCACAATAACGTTTATTATATGAGGATACCGTACTGAGTATATAACTGCAGGCTTTGCTTATACGTTCACAAAAATCTTTCTTACCTTGCAATGTCGCGTGTTGGGGTACGTCAACCATTTTTAACAACTTTTTTGCTATCTATAGTTCAATGCAGTTTCGTTCTTCTCCAGCACAATAATCACCATACTTTCACCATTTTATATCCTTAACTAAATCTCAAAGTTTGGAACGGCCTAGACTCTAACCTAAAGTCATTTCATTGAGGTTTTGGCGCCGGCGATACTCTTTTGGACGTGGTACCATTTGGCCGCATGGATGATCTTTGCTTGGAACGGCAAGCATTCCGCATGGTTATGTGTGCCCCCTGGTCTTGTAGATTACAGAGTTTAAATGTGCCCGTGATTTACAGACAGATAGACACGCTATGAATGAATGAGATCTGCATTGTGTCAGCTAGCCACCATCGCCTCCGTGGCGCAATCGGCTAGCGCGTTCGGCTGTTAACCGAAAGGTTGGTGGTTCGAGCCCACCCGGGGGCGTCGAAGTTTTACTGATGGACTTAATATTTATTAAATTATTTTACGTTACAAACACACAACCCATCCAAATCGTCTAATTTAAGAACTCTAGAGGTAATTAATAGACCATACGCATACAGTATTATTCAAACTACCTTAAAAATATTAAAAGGGAATATTGACTTCATTCAACTTTGAATTAAAAGTACATTGCCTTAAATATCACATCAAAACAAGAGCAAGATACGTAGTGGTTCTCGCAATTCTCGCAATCTCTGTTTCCTCTAAACTCTTTATCACCGGGCGAGTGTTACACTCGTTACACTTATTGACCCGACTTTGAATCTGGACTTTTGTGCGTTGAGCTGCATCACGCTGCCTACACGTTTGAATAAGTTTAGCGAACGCCCTGAATCAATAAAAGTAAAAAAACAGGAGATGGCCAAGAACAAAAATGCAGTTCATTTAATATATAATGACTACGAAGATCTGTGAAGTTTTCTATGCATGATTCTTTAAAACGTCAAATTCTCAACAACTAGAAGTTATTTGCTTACTGAATTGCTTTTAGTGCTAAGTCGAGAGGCCAAGATACTATTTTTGTGGGGAAAATTAAATAATAGCATCCACTCAAGCAAAATAAAATTAACAATTTAATAATATGTATAATAATGGAGATGCATCCTGTCAAGCAACACTTTGCGGGTCGAAACGTGCAACTGTTAAAACCACCTTATATAACATTTTATTTCAATGTACATCTCAGTTCTCAGAAATCCATAATTATTCTGTTTCCTTTTAAAGTCTTTCTGAATAAACAATCTTTAATACAAAACTAGGAAACCATCGGAAACAAATGAGTGATTAAAATTACATCGTTGGAATTCAGGAACTAACTGAAAGAACTGCTGAAGTAATATATCAGTAGCTTCAACCCATGCGCATGTATTAAGGTAAGATCATATGCTTACTCCTAGATCCAGAAGTTCAGTGAGTCGAGGGTATTTCTATCCACAGTCGTTCCGGAACAGTCTGCCTCGTACTTAAAGATCGCCTCAATCCAGGCTGTGTTTACTTGTATAAAGATCGAGCTTTCTCCCTCTTAAAAACGAAAGGTCAAGGAGTAAAAAATCAGGTAAGACACAGTATATAGTCAAGATGAAAAAATACATAAAAAGTGACTGTAGCAATGTCAATTTTTAACTTCGCGCATACGATCTTTTTAGTTGCATCTTTGCCGTATAGTCAGCGTGTTCCTCTTTTTTCAGAATTTTACATACAAAACAATGAACTGTTACTAACCTTGAAAGAGAACGTAACACATACATTAGAAATCATCTCAATTGACTCCGTTTAAACTAGAAAAAGTGAAATAATTTCTGTTCAGACTCTGCCATTGGTGTCTTTATGTGCGATTTTATTACGTATGAAGAAGTTATTAGTTAAATCAATAGCTAAGTAGTTAACCTTAATTAAATCTTATATTAATACCATTTCACTACTATTGAAATTCGTATATATCCTTGGTCCCTGAAGTTTTCATTAGACATTAACCTTTGGAATTAATGAACATCTCAGGTAATTAACTAAGGATTCCTCTAAGACAAATTTCACCTACCAAATTCTTACTGTCATGTTTACCTTCTTCCATGATCTTATGAAAGTTCAAAACTCTCGTTTGGCGTTAAAAAAGCCGAACGACTCCCGAAGCAGCTCAACAATTAACAATGATTAGCTTGCTGGGATAAAGCTAAATCTGTTAGTTAGCACCATACCTTAAGCTTTAGTTTTAATTGTCTAACTGAATACTCTTACGAACGCAAAGTTTCAAATTTTTCCGCGCTCACTCTCAGGGGCAGTTGCCCTCTCCACGAACCTTCGGTAGCCCGAAACCACTTTAAAGGATATTTTGTTCCATACGTTGATTGCTTACAACGAGTGATATCCAGGTACATCCGTGACGAACTGCTTGGTTGAATAAATTTTATTCACGTACGAAATCAGTCGCATCGAAATTGTGATCTGTGCTAAAGCAAAAGAGTCTGTCGAAAGATTTCACCAAGCAGCTACCAAAACCACGTTGAAAACACGTGCTAGAACAATCGCTACTGAAATAATCGAGTTCATTGTGTGATCAAATACTGGCCATAGCGTTTTCGCTCTTATCTGTGAACCGCCAAGCGCCTGAAACATATTGAGCTTGCGCACCGCTACACAGGTAGATCGGGTCGCAGTTCATCGTCAAGTGCACTACAACGTTATCAATTGTCAGTATTTCAAAACGCGAATCATTTGAAAAGTCCACGTTATAAGTGATATAGCATATTGAGACCGCTCGTAACAGCGTCGAACACGCTGAAGACTTCGTTGAAGGTTCGATAGCCCCGGCATACTTATGTGCGGAATCGCCGTTGTTATGCCCATGTCCGCTGTTTCCGCTGTGAACTCGATCTTCAATTCAGTCATTTTGTCGAACTAACTTTGATCCCTTTTGACAATTATGGCTTGTTAGGCGCAGCCGATTTGTCGGCGAGCGCGTACACCACAACTGTACAAAGCCTGTGTAGAAACTTCAGCGCGGTTCCCAAACTGGTACCAGCAGGAAGACAAGTGTACACATTGTATAGAAGAAAACGGTAACTTAGTTTTATTGGTATTTACCAATCAACTGTATTGGTTCGTAATAATTAAATGGCAAAATTTATCACATTTTGAAGGAAAGCAAGAGGCAAAACCTGCCGTTTAGCTGAGCAATTTGATTTGAAAACTTATTACAAGTGATACAAATATTTTCATTGGCCCGATAAACAAGCCTTCATTGTGAGGATCAGATAGAGATGTCGAGAGCGACGAAAGTGAAGCACGTGTATCGTGAAGTACTCGAAGAGTTCGCTCTACCCGAGCCTCCGCAAAGCATTGTTAAGGTAAGTCACGGTGAACTTTAAATAGAACAGCTGTTACCAACAGCTCTCGTGTCTGTTTGCAGAAATGGCAACTTGTATCATGTAACGTTAGGATATACTTGTATATACATTTGATTGTTATTGCCAAGTATGTTAAATATTATTCATTAACGCTGAAGGAGGCGAAATAAATTTACTGCGCTTAAAAAGCTTTATATGTCAGGTGCAAACTGTAATCAATGTACCAATCGCCTATTATCAATACATAGATAATAGCACAAAGTAATCATTGTCGTCCAGGTTCTGGGTGGTCGTGGCAACAATCTTCACGAGGTAGTTGACGAACACGGGGAAATGTTCCTCGCATCGATGCCAACAAAATTCAGGCGCAATGTGTGGGTCAAAAGAGGTAAGGATGGATTCTATTAATACAGACATATTTACTCAGGCATTTTCTGTGCTCGAAAAATTCGCCTAGCTTTGGAACCACGGTGACTATAAATCTCATATCAAACACGATATGTTTATATTGTCTTAGGAGATTTTGTTATTGTTGAACCGATCGCCGAAGGGGACAAGGTCAAGGCCGAAATCATAATTATCTTGTACAAGGAACAGATAAAATTTATCAAAGAAGAAGGCAAGTGGCCTGAAGGATTCCTCGAAAAACCGGTTGACGGAGGGGGCGATGACGATAATGATCTCTTCGTAAACTGCAATCGTGTCCAGGTGAAGAAAATAGCTAATATTATTGTAGCTATACATACGTTATTTATATGTAACGACATAAATAATATATGTTATGAATTGAAGACTGGCCATTCTAGATACTGGTTTAGTCAAATATTGTTAGCTCTATATAATATAAGAACAGTATTGTATCTTTTGTTCTTTGTTTGTTATCCACTCTCGATTTTACAGGCGAATATGAGCTTCTTTTTTTTTTTAATATATGACCCAAGACAGCAAAATTAAAGACTTAAGTATCACAGGGACTAAGTACTGATTTTATACACATCTGTGACCGGAATAAACCATATTATATATACATATATTAGTATGTTCATCCATATATATTCCTAATGCCACTAATTATAAAGAAAAATACAATTTAAGCCGACATTTACCTTCGAATACATGGTAAAGCGGAGTTACTGTTACAAAAGTTTGATGACTTCATAAGCGTAGCTCTTCGAATTGTTCCACATTTTCCTTTACAAATTATATTTTCACACCATTACATTCCTCATCACATTGTCAAACGTATTTTCTACTACTACGCAATAAAATGGTATTTTAAGCTATTAGCTTATCATACTCTTTTATTCTTACAGGTGTCTTACGAGGAATCTGATGAAAAAACTTCGGATGAAGACGACGATGAGGACAACAATGAAGACGAAAGTAGCGATGAGGATGTTAGTAATGGGTTTGAGAAAAATTCAGTTTGTTCCGATGAAGAATAATAGCCAAACGCATGGAAACCCGATTGAGTGAAGTGCAAAAGCATTTCATGTTAAATCCGGGTTCCATCTTAATATGTTGAAAACAAATCCTTTTAGATATATTTTTGTGCCATCATATTTTTGTTGCGGATTTGGCGGAACAAATCTTTAATGCTTCACGATGATAGCAGATAATTTTAGTTTATCTAAAATGACAATGTTATGATAATGTCAGTAATGACAATAATAATGGTATCAATACAGATGATATCAGGCGATAGTTAATTGCTCAACTGTTGCAACGCTTTTCTTGCTGCTGCAATCGATGCCCAGATGACGCCACCGTTGAGATCACTAGTCGACTGATGTTGTATCTATGTATGCTACTCCGAAATTATGGTTTGTGACTTTAAAAATAAAGAATAATTCACAACTCTAATAGCGATCGTGTGTTACTTTGACTAGGTTCGACGAATGTGTAGTTGAAGTAGTGTAGAAAGGAATTAAGGTATATATATATATATATATTAATTCATAGCGCTGTTTAGTTAGGTATCTTTGTTTACCTCGTGTATATTCTATAGTTGCACATATCTAGTCGATCTTTCAACTGGATGTACAATCCTATTTCCTCAAAAAATATGAGATTTAATTATAATGAAAGTACATTGTAGCGAATTTTGTTGACTTTAGAAAAAAACGGTAAAATTGCCGGTTCAGCCAGGTACGGAGACAAACGCCCACTCCCTCCAATGATCCAAATCCAGATAAGGCCTCAGCGTAACTAATTATTTCTGTCAATCTTCTTACGCAATTCGGAGGTCGTTCGGAACCCGTAATTTAATTATGGACCATGCAGTATAGCCGAAAATTGTAATAGCTTTGTGATTTATATAGTACAAAAGGCAGGTTTTATAAGTTCGATCATTTGTGATTGATATCTGCAAACAGATCATGGTAAGTAAAGGAAAAAATTAACTTACATATCACCTATGAAAACGTCGAAGTCCTACATAACTGTTTGTATTGTAATGAGTAAAAAGCATGTCATTGATGCAATTAGATCCTAGTATTCACAATTTTACAGTAGCGATAGTAATTCTATAATAATAATACAATCTATGAGTTATTTATAGAATCCTATTATTTTCACATTCATGTTTTTCGATTAGAAAGCTCAACATATCTACTACGGCGCACTATATCGTTCACATTTTATACAAATGGATAATAAGACGTTGATAGAATCGCCGAATTTCGAATTGGTGTGACGTAGACAGGTAGCAGTGTATCGTACTAGCAGAATGTGGCTTGCTACGCTTAATAAAATTGTCAACCCACTCGACAAGACTTCGAGTTCGATGAAACGTTCTGATTGAGAATTAGAAAAGAGAAGCAACAAACAAAAAATCATCACTACTTTTTGGACAGCTTAATGGGTGATATCACGTGACAGTAGGTTCTGCTCTAACCCTCTTTTTTTCAGGAAAATGTTAACCAAAGCCAGGGACATCAAAAAAAACATTTATTAACGACAGGATTGTGTCAAATATTTTTAGGTTTCGTTGTAACGTTGGTTGCTTTCTCCTTCCCAGCGGCCTCTTTCTTGATCAATTTAACTGTTGAAACACACAATGGTAACGTGTTTGTGACACATGAGTTGATCCAGATTTGAGACGAAGTTTAAGTGGACTTTATGTACTGAGATAATCCAGATCTGAGACGAAGTTTAAACTGTTGGAAACCACATTTATGAAGCAAAACTGCATAGCAGTACTATATTAATTTGTGGACGCTTGGGTATTTTTGTAATGTTTATATATAATAGTTACAGAGGTTCACAGACCTGTACTAAACTATTGTCGTCGGCATAACGGGAAAACTGCTGGCCAAAGTGAAACGTACAATTTAATAGGACTTGAAATACCTTATGGTCCCTGCCGTAGAATGCATAATACAGGTACAAAAAAAAAACACGCACAAATATTAAGGCCGATTATAAAACTGAGTTATGTAATCTAATTGATTGAATTATATATATAACATTTAAACTCATCTTTGATAAATGCCTATATAGTATTAACACCTTAATAAAACCAAACAAAAAATATATAATACATTTGATTGATTCGTCTGTGACACATTTTGTTTCAATTTTTTTTCCACAAACAAAATATGGTCGTTTTTAGCTTTTCAGCTAGTAGAGCTATTTTGAAATAGCTAGAAAGCAAAATATCATTGCGCTTAATTCTCTCTGGTGCCCATCCAATAGAGTCAGCTGCTCTGATACTGTACGTCTGCAAAAACTGACAGATGAATTCATCTGGATTATCAACCTAGGTCTTGATTTCTACATTTTACTATGCGCTCATCTATGTAAATTTGTAATTGGCACACTACAATAGAAAAAGGAAACTTCATGCCACTGACACGCTGAACTGACACCAAGCGGTGCTCGATGCAAAGCTTAATCCACGGATGGCCTTGTTTACGAATTGTCACTAATTGACGGGTTTACACGTGAGAGTTGGACTTGTCCGAACATCGACTGTGTTCGACGGTCACCTAGCACAGTAGAGATCGACTAGTTAAGTAGTCGAAGAGTGGTGTGTCAAAGGATTGGAATTCAGTTGTAATCTAGTAGTTCTTTGGTGTCACAACTTTGGGTTTTTGGAGCTACAGTTTGTCAATATTTATTCCATTAGTATTTGGAAAATGTCAAACGCTCATGACGATCCCGGCATTTCAGAGGCAGCCATGGATGCCTTCCTCAAAGATGAGGGGCTATTGGAAGAGGGCATGGATCGAAAACAAAAGATTGAGGTTTATAAGTGAGTGCTTGAGAGATAGCCTGTCCTAAGTGTAACATTCATTTCAATATTTACTGCTGTCACATGTGCAATATGCGTTCTGTAAAAGTGTCATCCTCATCTAAAAACTTATTTCGTATACTTAAAAATAAAGAAATATTTTAATACATTTTAGAGAATTGTTAATATTCGATAACAGATAATCGTCAGTAAATAGTTATCAAAGTATATCAGTGCACAAACGAGTGGTGACTAGACATTTGCTAATTTAAAATAGATATAAATTTGGATCCCTTTTTCAATTCCGAATATTGTGTTCACTTGCTTTAGAATATTGTGTTGCACTTTAGACTTCTACCGTTCCAATTAAGGCATTCATACAACACTTCTAAGACTTGTTTTGCATCATTTTTTTTCCAATCGACCCGCTGGATACTGTTAACTCGCTGCGACATAATAACGTTTAATTTTCTTTTCTGTTCTCTAATGTAATATTCTTTTTATGTGTGCCTTTTCACCTTCCAATTTTTACAGAATTTTAGAAATTTCAAGGCACACCGCTTACATGGAGGAAAATCGACGCAGGGGCGCGGGCATCCGCTATGAGAGTAGCTCTCGAGGAGATCATGATATCCTATATCAGGGCAGCCGACAGGAGTCATTCAAACCATCTATGGGTTCGTGTAGTTCACCGCAGCATTCACAGGCTTCACTCCAGCAGCATCATCAGCAACAAGAAGGACATTCCCACCATTATTCGCATCGTCACCATCATCAACCACAGCAACAACCGCAACAGTCGCCCCGTCAATATCACAGGCAGCAGCATCAACAGCAGCAGGCATGTGGAGGATGTAAACCTCTCGTTGCGCAAGAGTCGAAAATCGATTTGGCACCAAACCAATTGTCATGCAGCGATGATGACGAACCCAAGACGAACCATATAATGAAGTGCGCCTATGCACTAATCTTCGTTTGCACACTCGCCTTTTTATACTACTTTGCGCAGTTGTTACTTTCCTTTAGTCTCGAAGACTCTGTGTATCGGTGAATCATAACTGCTGTCTGCATTTAAATATTAAACTATGCTCTGTTCAAGCATTTATTGCCTGATGCGTGCTCTCATAAAATATAATATTTTGAGTCTCTAGTCGTTGTTGTTTGTTGCAAACTCTCTGGTGCTGCAGTCGAGTATAATTTTTCTTGACTAGATAAAGCGCAGTTATTGAAAAGAAAGAAATGTTTTCTCATTTTATCCCTTCTGGTAGTTGGACATGCTAACACATCTAGAAATAGAAACCAATTGTGTTAGGAACGAAACCACTTCTTTTCTACTCCATCGGTGTCGGCTCTGCATTATGTGTATTTTTCATTCTATGCAGAGATGTAATGAAAAAGATTCTCATCTTCAAATTTTATTTGTATATCATCGGAAGGCTACTCACTATTAGAGCGTGGCCAGGTTGATCCGAGCTATATACTAGATCTCTTGTAAGCGGCCATCAAGGTTAAATAATACCGTGATTCATGTGAGTTGATGTGCACTTCTTAAATGATGGTTACGTGTTTCATCAAACACATTCTGCAAGAGAAGCCGGATCATTTGCAAAACGTCTTGCGCATGCCCCTATATAAAGGCTACTCGTCCACTTGAATTACCTTACTTGATACGCATTTGGTAGTAATGCGACTATTTCAAATGTTTATATCATTTAATACGTGTTTTTGACTTAAACCTATTTTAACATGAGGAGATTTTGGGGATTCGTCAGCATGGGTCGTTATAGTTGTGTTTCTCGTTTAAGTTCTGCATGCTATTGCAACGGAATGGACTAGGTGGTAGCGCCGCGTACTTCGAACCAGAAGTCTTCAGAACAATACGAATTGATGTGGTGTTGTACTTGCTAATTCTTTTAATATAAATTATTATTTTTATTATTAGAACTTAGATATTACATTGTTGCTGTTGCTTTGGAATAATATTCTCCTGTGTTGAGTATTTATTGTTTCTTGAGCCTCGAATTCATTGATCTCTCGTTTGGCCAGAAGCTTCTCAGCAATTTTATTTCGTGTTATTCATATGAGCACATGTTTTACAGAGATCTCTTTAGAGGTATAGCTAAAATTAAATAGCGATAAAAAAAGTTGTTGATTGACACGGGATTGATTAATCACATGTATGGCTACTTTAATTTCGGCTTGCACAGGCTGCTTACGACATAAAATATTAATATAAAAAACCGTTTCTGGCACATTTTGTCAAAAGCCTACTGTGTTTTACGTATGTTGATATTTTACAAACTCATGGTCTTCGTGTTGTTTTCGTTCAAGTGTCTGTTCTGAAAGTACATGTTTCTTGGCATGATAAAACTGAGTTAAGCATTTGAAACCAAAAACACGTACAATCTTGAATATCAAACGATTGGTACCGTTTACTACCCCGTTTTACAAGCTTTTGAAGGACTTTGCTTATGGAAAGGAATGGACGCGCTAAAAACCCCCAGAGATTTCTTCATCCATGCATTATTTTCCGGCGGTGCAAAACCAAAACGCAGGGGTTTATTAGAAGTCGAATATGAATTACATTGAATGTTGAAACGTTTTGTCTGTTTAACACTCTGTATTTCAGGAGTCTCATCAGGCATCTCAAACCCAGGAACCACCTGTTCGAGCACGCCGTAAGAAGGCCCTTAACAACCACAGCAAGTAAGTCTTTTGGTCACGAGGTGAATCCCCGTTTAAGCCACGTGCTACGTAGATTACAATTCTTTGACATTTAGCCACTATCTGAAATTAGTATTAAGTGAAGACACTCTACTTCACAATATATTTTTATAGCAAAATAGATAAACGTTTGTTCGAATTTTTTTCTCATTTATGCAGGAATCACATTATTCACTAGTTTTTTATGTCTTGTCTCTGACTGTGAATGCAGAAGAACCAGCAGTTTAATGTTTTATCTTGATTTGAATGATCTACAAATTTTATCTTGATTGTATATTATTATATACTATCTCTCTGTACTTTATATACTAATGTTACTTTTGTGTCTACATTAGACAGGACTCGCTACCAACACCAGTGGTCGAACTACAGTTGAATGCCGACGATGAACTCATACCTCCTGAATTAATCGATCCTCGGTTAAAAGCGGGGCGAGAAACTAGTGGCGAATCAAACGGTTTCAATCCGAAATTGGTTCTATTTCTCAAACAAGATGAAGATCAGAATCGAGGAATGGCTAGGATTGACGAAGCTCTCAAAATGTCTCATCAGTGTTTTTATACAAACACGACAGAAACCGAGCATGCAGTTTAGACGTAAAGCTGCTTCCGTAACGACAGCCACGTCTTGTTTCTAGAAATACCAAAATATATAAGCGATGCGTTCGATTAATTATTACTACAATTAATAATGCTATTGAATAAAGGTGGCACGGTTACCGTGCTCACATTGCAATCATAACATGCGAAAAATAAAGCTTCAGCTGCTGTTTCGTATTTGCGCGTAAACATAGTATAAAATGGTTACTTTCATTCAAGTGTAACGTATCACAGTGCGAAACAAAGCTAGCCGTCCGAAGCAATACTTAGCAGTGGAACGGGACGTAAGACTTAAATATTTTAGTAAAATAGCTTGTTATTGTTGTCGCAGAAAAGCATTTCCACCCTTACTACTTTTTTTACGGTTTGTTGGAAAATTTCAGATTTGCGAGGATAAATGGAAATCAAAGTGTTTCACTAATAAAACTAACTTTGTTTGTGATATCGATTGATTAGCATCGTTTTGCTTATCAGTGAAAGCCTGGACAGAGTAATGTTGTTAGTTCAGGCCCTAGCTTTTCCATTAAGTGAATAGAAAGACTCTGACATTTAATGGTTATAACTATCCGCGCATTCCGTTTACTCAAAAAAGAAACAACTGTATCATTAGTCAACGTATCACACGTATTTTCATGAGCATAGAAAACACTCTTCCCAGCTGCAAAAGATAGACGTGACTCACTTATTAGGAATAATGTAATGAGAAGAATTTTCTGCCAATTCGTTAACAGAAGCAGCGTTCCCAGCAGATCGTACGTAATATCAGTCTATACAAGTCATCGACTGCTAGTTTGTACTTCTGTTATCTGCGAGAGCATTTTTGGCTGATTTAAATATTCCCGCCCTTGAAAGACGATTCTTCCATGCCGTCAGCTGATACCACGACCAGCAGACCGCGATCGAATCAGGCGGTCGGTTTAGGCACATAGAAGTTAATGTTGTTTCGTAAAAGTGAATTTAATATCTCTAAGCTCTAGGTGAATATATAGTGAGTTGGACTCACGCACATGGTTACCGGCTTTCCATTAGGGAGCGAATTCAAAATCTGCCCCCTATGAAGGTTGGTGCTATGTCAGTGCTTTATTGTGTAACTTTATTGCGCGCATAAGCCTGACCGAAATCCCAGCGCTACGACCCTTTCTGTAATTCGTCATAATTCTACTAGAGAGAATTATACTGACTGAAGAAGACGTTAGCGCATCCTCTCCAGCTAACGATATTTTTGGAAGCGGTTGAGGCGGTGCCAAAAAGTGAAACCGGTGTCGAGAAAAATCATTCTTATAGAGTGTAACAAGGCTCAACAAGACAACAACAATGACAGAGAGAGATTTGACAGCACAGCAGAGGATGATCTCCTCATGCACTGGTATGGAATCACTAGATGAGGTTTCGGTCGTAGACACTATTTGTGAGAGTTACTTTTGCAAAAGCAGGGAAGTTCATGTACATGGGAGTGTATATATTTTTAAAGTCGACGCGGTGTCCTCGAAGGTCAAATTTTTGCTTGCAAAAAGTTAGCGGTTGTTGCATCAAATTTTGTCAACAACACATAACTAAAGTATTTGCGTCAATGAAGAAAGTTACATATATGTATCTAATCGTAAGAGATTGCCTAAAAGAAAAGTGAGGGCTGGTTACTTTGTAGATTAACAAACTAATTTTTACAATACAAGAAAAGCCATTCCAAGAACAAGTGGTTCTCAATGGGATATAATTAGCACCACAAGGACTGCTCTTTCGTTTATCCTCACAAACAGTGCTGCAGTATTTTGTTATAACTATCACATAGATTGAATAATGCCGGCTAATCGAATGCGGTAAATGAATAACCACTGGGATAAAGCAGCGGGTGACGTGCTTGCCTGCTAAATTTGAAGACACCTGATGGTTTAGGTTCGAATCTGGGCGTAGGCATACTTTATTTCGTGCTGGCTAGCCGTTTGAAGTATTGCTTAACGGCGAAAGTGCCAAGCCGACAACACAAAGAAAGTGCTATAAATGAATAACACGGTAGCTTAATGTAGTTGTGACTAACAATAAAAATAATTATAATACGAATGCTATTATGGCTCAGTTAAGGCATTTATTGTTATTTACGTGTAAATACAACATAAAATTATCTCGGGTTCTTGTACTCGCCTGGTTCTTACATAGACAAAAAGGTTCAATATGCAAAGATGTGTACCTGCGAAAGAAATTTTTCAGATCTTTCGCTCGCTAGTATGGTTAGATGTGCAAGGTAGATTCGCCAACTTTCGTACATACCCTAGGTTGATAAAAATGGTCCTTGATATTTTGCACCTCTTACGGTTGTTTTAGCATATTTTGCATCTAGATTATTCGTATGATAGGTTGTACGTATGATGATTTCAGGCGCAGTCTTTACATCATTACTGATGACCCCTTTCGACGTGGTAAAAGTTCGACTGCAAGCTCAACAAAAGGCATTTCTTAAACATAAGTGTTATTTATACTGCAATGGCCTAATGGAACATGTGTGCTATTTACGAAAAGGTGACCAGCAGTGGTTTGATAGGCCGGGACGGTACAGAGGTAAGATATATTTATTCACCCAGATCTCAATAAAGTTGGAAACATGTCTGTGACTCGCACAGATAAGTGAATATATTCAGTATTAGTCAAAGAAAGATAATCCATTAAGTTAGCACTAAGGCTTTTTTTCAATTACAGGATTAGTACCATTTCTTCCTCATTTTTATTTAGTCCTTAATATTTCCTTGATCCTTTGCACGTTTTCGACCTGCTTGTCGTTATGCATACTGCCAGGAACATGGGATGCTTTTACAAAAATTTCCCGTGTTGAGGGACTACAAGCTCTCTGGTCAGGCTTACCTCCGACACTCGTGATGGCCGTGCCTTCCACAGTTCTTTACTTCACATCGTACGACCTCATCAAACAGAATCTCGAGGCTGTTAGGGTAAGAACACTGTAGGTATACTCTAACAAGGAAACGAGATTTATTGCTGCCAGCGAGGAGCCTTAAATAAATGTCAAGAGCCTCAATCCCACCGATGTTGCAGGTAACTGTGCCCTCTGCGTAAGGCAACATTTGGCTCAGTTATATAAGCTGTGAAGCTGTTAGAACTCTATTCTGTTGTGTATTCATCTCATGTCTGCTATGCCTGTTATCATAATAGTGTGTTCGCCGTATTTGGCATAATTAACAACCTATCGAAAGAAAAACGTTGCAGATTTCGATAGTCGAGGTACCCATTACAGTGGTTTACGAGTTACTGTAGCGGATAGATGCGTTTGATTTAACTTTATTTGAACCCTGGCAGTTTCTCTATTTTTCGCAGTACTCGACACCAGTACAGGCAGCGTTTATATCTGGCGCAACGGCGCGTACTCTTACATGTGTAGCTATCTCACCCCTTGAACTCGTTCGAACTAAGATGCAGTCACAGAAGCTGAGCTACGCAGACATAGCACGTACGATCTCAACTATGGTTCGCGAACAGGGTGTTCGATCGTTATACATGGGTACGTTCAATATGGGTACTGTGTGACAATCAATCAATACTGCGTACGCAATCTTCTGTTGGCCTTTATTTGTGTAACGAGTCACGCAATATTACAATAATATATGACATGTTCACTCGTGTGTTTTGATTGTAACCCCGAACAGAAACATACAATTGTCCCTGTGTTTTTTTAAATTCTTTTAAAATTTGTCCATAAGATACGTACAAAACAAATGTCTAGCTTTTACGTCAGTTAAGTGTTGGGTCGTTCTCCGAGCTATACTGAACTAGCGTAACAATGAATCCAAACTTAGAAACATCAACGCTTTCAACATATTCGGGTGACGTATAACTAATCATATTTTTGATTGATAAACAGTGTGTTTATGTGCTTCACTTGTAAATCAATAGGCTTCAGCAAGAAAAGTAAAACCGAACACAGTCGGTCAACTTTTTTCATGCAATCAGATCAACTAAAAACACTGGGACACCTTATACTTAAAAAATTATGATGATAATGTACCTCTCATACACAGCGAAAAGTTTTTCTGTACACAATTAACTGTTTCATGTGTTTCCTTCCGCACATTCGGTACGATAGGTCTGGCATCCACATTACTTCGAGACGTTCCATTTAGTTGTATCTATTGGAGCACGTATGAGTTTATGAAGCGTTCATTTAATGGGGATCATCCACCACTGATGTTTTGTCTAATGGCTGGAGCAACAGCGGGGTCCACAGCAGCCATCCTCACGTTGCCCTTTGACGTCATAAAGACACATAGGTAAGGATCTACTACAGTTTAATATATCTAGTTGATTTGAGCAGCTTTAAACATTATATTTTTGTTAGGCTTTGCACAGGCTGACCTCTTGCATCGAAGTGTAAAAATGTCCCGATACGAATTGAAACTTATGCGTCATAATTAACTTCAATATAGATCTGTGTCCATCATAGCGATGTGAACATGTTTAAGAAATGGATCAGACGGGAGTATCATGTAGTTGCATTTTTTTGGCGTTTCAAATAGATTCGTTTGATATGCCCATCTCTTAAAAATTAGGGTAACATATAAAAAAAAAGGTGTAACAAACCTATGTATTTGGTTCTTCTTGCGTCGAATCGAATCGTCGATTCCTATCGTGTCATTCAAATGTTTTTACAGGCAACTAGAACTGGGTGAAGCCATAACGCAGACTCGACCGAAGGTCAAAGATCCTGTGACTATGCTTCTAAATCTATACAAGCAATCCGGTGTTTCAGGACTCTTTACTGGTTTAGTGCCTCGTCTGGCCCGAGTCGCTCCGGCGTGTGCCATTATGATTACTACATACGAAGGCTTCAAAGCCTACTTTGTTCGGCGGATGCGTGACAGGCAGAGCGATCCCTTGGCAGCACGAAGCTGTCTTGAAGTTAGCGAAAGTATGAAAAATAATATTATTGACAGTTCCCTTTCAACAAAGGGTGGCTTAAACCCTCAAATACGCGGCCCTATTGTAGAAGCAATTCATCTAGGTGCAGGGGTTGTTTCTGCAACGCCTGCACATGACAAGGTGTAATCTCATTACGTCAGCTCAAGATGACAGATCTCGTCGAGTAAAAGATATTTTACAGTTACAATCTTTACGGATCTAGCACTACGTGTAAACATAAATAGGTAACGTGTACGAAGTAATTTAACGAATAAATATATAAAATATCCTGTATGAAAATTGATTATGCACAGAAATGAATGTGTACATAGTTATATACTTAAAATCTAAAAACTCTTGTCATAGTTTTGTTAGTCTTTGGTCATGTTGACGCATACTTTCATAATAGTTCTGTATCCGTAGTTGTTGGTGCTTGCTATAGAAATAAAGGCTTGCAAAATAACGAAAATCGTTGATCACATCATAAAAGCAAACTCTGTAAGATAGTAAAACTAGATAATAACTAGCGTAGAATGTCTCTTATTACTATTCGGTCCTTCTTTGATGCATTTCCCGTGAGCATCGTCGTACAAGAATCATAAGAATTAAGGCACGTAAATGTTAAAGAAGACTTTCAGCAAAAAATATTTATTCAGTATGATTATCGGTTTAATTATTTCTTATAACTGTTAGTTTCAAACATCGTCCAATCATAATTTCGACTTTTTTTTTGCGTTCTGCCTAAATGTTCAGCCATATTTGAAAACGTTACTGCTAGACTGATAACACAAAAATAGTTGTTGCGCCACGCTCAGATTTATTTAGCGTAATAACCTAAAACGCGATTTTATTTTTGCGCTTACGAATGCTTAGCGGTTATTCGTTTAAGATTCATACAATCGCCGTATAGTGAGTCAAACACTATTCGTTACGTTTTACGCCGTCTACATCCAACACGGTGACTCTTCTGTACCTCGCTTAACCACAAGGAGATGTAATGCATCAGAGATGCTTGAAAATGACACTCTTCTGACAAAAATATGTACATACCGCATACCAATCACCGAGTCGGCATTTTCTCCTAGGTAAATATATAGCAATAATTATATTTTAATAGTTAGTTCTCACTTTCATTCGACTTAGCTGCTTGCACTTTTTTGACATTCCAGTTGTGCACGCGCGCCATGTTGACTTCAGTTGTGGTAATCTGGTCTCGCAGAAATTCCATATCTGATACTATCTGAAATTGGATTGTTAATAGAGTAAAGGGACTACGTTAGTGTTAGCAATACATTTGCCACATAGAGCCGCATTAGTCTAAGCAGACATTTTCCTTAGTAAGAATTTTACCTTCGATTCCAAAAGGCGTACTCAGTTTTCGACAAGAGAACTCAATTTCTATTGTCAATACAAGACACTAACCTCCTTTAGGATGGCGTGTGACGATGTCAGGTTGTTTGTTAAAAGTTCAACTGCGTCCTCAAGTGAATACTCGAGCATCACATTAGCGCCTAACCAAAGGCAGACATTTTCCGTTGGTGGAACTCGTGCCTTCGCGTAAACATCATCTGACAGCAAAAATGTCGTTTGTATATCTTCCGAAGCTTCCTTTAAAATCATTAGAGCAGGTCAAATACGTACTAAAATTCGGCGATTCATAGTTAAGACTTAAGGATAAATATATTTTTAGTACATTCTAGTAGTTATATAGAACGGGAAAGTATGTTGATACCTAATAAAGAACAACGTTGAAATAACTATGAGCCAAAATGTTTCGTCTTAATTTTTTAAATTATAACAAAGACTGCTTTTGTTTCTGGATCAAGAACGGCTTTCGCATATTCAGAACGAATGATTAGCTTACGTACCTTTTTAGCTTTTAAGGTTTGCAGAAGACTGAGTGCGTTTTTAAACTCGGGTATTTGCGATTTCAGTTTAGCCTTACGCTGCTGCAACGACGCATCCATGAATTTGTACTTGCTGAGCATATCATCGAGTTCACGCAAAGCATGTTCCGCTGAGGCATGCTGTTCTTTATTTAAATAGGCGTCGACGTCCTCCTTAAAATGCGACGCGAGCCACATTACAAGTCTTATTATAGCATAAAGTATAGAGCTGTAAAAGAAAACGTTGACGGCGGTGTCATCTGTTTACTTACCACGATAATTAGGTGTCATAGTGCAATGATAACGTTAAATTTAAAGACATATGGTAGACACAGTACAAAAATGAACGCATCCACATTTGGTTTGGTGCTGAAAGCCACCTATCTGAGGTAATGCTTAACGGTAGTATAGGAAACACGAAACATTTAAACGAGATTTGAACAAACAACAAGACGCGGTACCGTGGCGCCGCATGTAGCCGGTGTATTATCGTCTTCAAGCAGAGAAAAATAATTGCTTGAGGTAAATTTATTTACATTATATGTACTATTTACTATTATATTTATTATTTACACTATATATATATATATATATATATATATATATATATATATATATATATATATATATACCTGTTACAATAGATGACTGGCTGAATGGATAACATATGTATTTCGCTTAGAATTAAATGGTACCATTAGAGTATTCATACAGTGAATAATTTCGTTTATTACTTTTGTTATATTCATTGGTATTATTATTTATTGAAACTATACAGCGCTCATATCTTGTTGGCGGGACCTGAAGCAGCGATTCTTGGTATCATTCAATCAGCCCCTAGGCCATTCAGTCCACCGCTTATATCTATATTTATACGCATATTTGTTCGTGATCTATTTTTTGGAAGTATGTTATAATTAAGTACAGTTATATTGCTGATCTTCTTCATTCGATCACATTATCAGTCATAAGCCATAACCACTATTTTTTTTAAATTTTTTTCTGGTCATATTTAAAACGCGAACTATAGTTTAACAATATCTCACGAGAGGTTTACTCACCACGAACGAGGCGGCCGGAATACCTCCATGTGGTTTACGCGCTGGTTTATCCTCTCTTGACATCTTGCCGCCCGATAGCTTTGCTGCCTATTACACACACAAACACGCGACTTGACAACTGATAATGTGCCGGGAATAGTTCAATACAACTTTACGAAAAAGCTATTTGAGCCCTTTTATTTGAAGACAGATGCGACTACAGGGTCCTCCCAAAAAGGAAGATGGCAGCGGAAAGGCGAGAAAAGAACAATCGATTTATCTGCGGTGTGGTGCGCCTTATTGTTGTTATTACAGTTGTGCTCCAATAGACAACGGTAGCTATAGCCCCACGAGTGGCACTAGTTTCGGAATCGGTGCAAACCAGACAAGCATCGGTTTGACAATCTAAGAAGACGCGCCAAAATTTAAATATATATGGATGAAGCTATAGACAGGGGTACAGTCATATGATTACGGGACAAATCGCATCTATTCTTCAAAATGTTCGGCTTTCATAATGTCAAATATATGCAATGAGTAAGGAGGGGAGATGATTATTTCAGAAACAGTCAAATAATCGACAAATTGTACGACACAGCACACTTCGTGGCGGACCTCTATTAGTTCCTAATGTGCAAATATAGTCAAGTATAAAATATACATTCAAAACTCTTTAAAACAAAAAAAGAGATAAGTAGAAAATAAAATCACTCACATTACTGAAAAACGTAGTCTAATTTCAACTGTGAAGTATCATTTAGTTCAAGAATGAAGTTCTCGGATGATTCAACTGCTGCAATATATAAATGCGACTGTGAGAGTTGGATGGAGAATGACGAGATGGAGAGGAAATAGTTAAGTTCAATACGCGATGCTTGATGGTAAGAGAAAATATAAAACTTGAAATATCAAAATTCAGGTGAGCCGAGTAATATTAGAGACGGTGGAAAGGCAAGTAAAATCCAAGGCAAATCTAAAGTAATGTGGTTCAGCTCGTTACTTTCTTGGGTAAGTGTTATCTTAACATTACAGAAAAGACACGTTAATTAATGCTGTAAATATTGTCTATCCACAACGGTTGATGAATGTTCAATAAAATGGAAGACTTGTGTAATAAAGCTTTGTAATGCGTCACAAAAGAATTTCAATGAATTAAGGAATACTTAAAACGGTAACAGATTTTTTAATTCGGAAGTTGTTGTATATTTTTTACATTAACGTCTAAAGAATATGCAATACCTGCCAAATTAAATAATAACGGTTTTACGTAGGTTTCTGCAAGGAAAACGTGTGTGCACATGTCGTCACTAAAGTTGAGCCGAAGATACGCATTAATTCGAACGGCTATCGTTATATCGAATCGTGCATGAAAGAGATGCTCAAAATAGCTGCTGCAAGTAAGAGAATTAATCAATTCTATCACTTATTATGAGCACTGAACGAAGAAAAACAAACGAACCAACTCTGAAAACTGGGTAATGTCAAATAAATATACCCGATATGCTATCCTGTTGATAATAACGATTTGCCCTAGTGATTTCGAAACGCTGCCGAAACGCTTAAAAAGTTTAACTAGAGTAGTGTAGTGTTACGTTATGCTCACTTCAGGCTCGTTCCCACAGCTGAAAACCATATTAGTGCTTCAATTATGTTAATCGAGTAGAAAAAGCTTAGCTACGAACAATATATTGGCTAATAAAAGTACACTAAGTGAACCGTTGTTTACGGGATGGTGAGCTGATTGCAGACGATAAAAGGTCACTGGAACGTCTTCTGGGGAAGCCAGTTTTTGGATTGGGATGCAACCGTTAGATATTATCCACTCACATTTAGTGAGTGATGGACGAAATTAAGGAACAATTTTATACTAACCAAACAAGAACTACAAGCAAACGTTGCGGAAAGAAATAAATGACGCATGATTTGTCAATAGTTCATTGTTATTTAATAACTGTGTAAAGATTATCACCAATTAAGGGCATCGAATCCAGAATATGAAAGCCAGAGCAATTACCCCATAAACGGAGCTTTCAAGTCAGAACTTGTGGCTCTGACTAACAGAAGTAATTTGTGTGAGCAAATATATTTGGCAGCGTTCTGTAGTCAAGCAAATCTACGTATACAATAGGAGAATACAATATAGCAATACGAGACATACAATAGGGTAACCTTATGAAAATAAGAGGACGCCATGCAAGATTGGCATCCCTTGGCTCGCTTTGGGACTGCGTCTGCCATTTGTCAATATAAGTTTACGCCATGTTAGTGGGCTAGAAATTATGCAAGCCATCGAAGAAGCCGAAAATTGGCCAACGTAGAGCACAGGAAACCGTGAAATGGATCTTACATAAGCAAAGCTACACATAACAATTATTCACCATGACGACAAAATTAACACAGCCACGTTGGCCAGGCCGCATTTAGCTGATTCTATTCTGACTGAGCTATCTTTCTTAGACTGAGCTATTCAAGATTACGCTGCGACTTAACTAGGTACCGTCATCAGTATAATAATACTCATATCAGATCTTACACAAAAGTTTGATTTTCCAGAACAATCTCAAGCCATTAAGATTAGTTAATGATTTTTCCCTATTCACCAGCTGCTCACTTCCGCTAATCTGCTCCTGCCTAAATAACCCAAGAGGGCCAAGCTGTCTAGGTTCTACTCAAGGTTCCACGAATTTGTCGTTCACCATGTTTACTTCCAAACGAGTGTTCTTATTTTCTCATTTATGTTATGGTGTTTTATCCCGGCCGCTGTGTTAATTTCGAAGGACTAGCTTATAACCTAATGCAGTAACATGCCCTATCCTCATGATCGTGCAGTGGATGGTTAATTGTTTGTCGAGTGCGAAGCTTTCGGCTAGGTTTGAGTCTAGGCATAAACACCCCTGATTTCATGCTTTGTGCCGCCCGTCTAGAGGAATGCCTAATGATAGTACTGAATCTAAGACTGAAAATATTTAGAAATAGTGAGATCTCAGGCGTCTGAACGCGCGGGCTTCGGGCTATTGTGTAGTTTGAATTGCACTACATATGTCCTCTCTAAAGTATAGACATCCTCAACAGGGCAACAGGCTGCGGGTGTCGTCGTTTAGACTAGCCAACGCATGGTAGTACACGGTCCCAATGCCGGATGTAAATCTTCAAACTAATCATACACATTGGTTGTAGGTAGCTGTAGTACTAATGGGATAAATTTTACTTAATACTGCGCAAATATAATTAATTTGCCTAATTTGAGCTAAGTGAGATCTCCGCAACTTCAGAGGTTTCATGTAATAGTTTTTTCCTTCATGAAAAATTATAGCAATCATTAAAACCGTTGACGAAGTTGTAGACATATATCTGTAGGAACTGATTTTCGTATCTATACGATCGAGATTTTGGACTCCTGTGGTAAAAGAAAATTTCGCAAAGACAGTTAGCACCATTTAATGGCTTCCATTTGGGGAAATTGAAATGATTAAATATTAAGAAAAGTCCGTATCAAGATAAATACATACGGACCCTACGATGTTTAGGTGAATCACTCTACTTAGTTAGATTACTGAGGACTTCTTAGAATTTCCAGCTACATTTTCTAAATATGATAGTTTATGTATTTTTCAACTTATTATTATTATTATTATTATGCACCGTTGTCAATTCTAGCGCTCTGATGCCTATTAGCTAGGCGTGTGCCAGTTCAGTGGCGCTTCCAATAAAAAATATAGTGTAAATCTTATCAATATTTTGAGCGTGTAGTTTGCACATTTCAATGCTTTTTTTTTTAGCACAGAATTTTGTTCGTATGCTCTGGGCGTAAGTTTCTCATGCAAACTTTCAAGTAGCGCAGTCGATTTCTTAGAAACTCTCAACGAACTAGTAACGTATATAATGCTGTATTTTAGCAGATCAATCGAATCTTGATGAATAGATCTGGTCGATTCCTTTCCCTGTAATACTGCAGGACTTGGGTCAAGTAGCGCTTATATTCAGCGAAATGTGTAAATTACTATTTTTTTATAATTTATTGTATATTTATTAGTTCCTTTAAATCTGCAAGCTTACGCGTGCAATACGGAAACGAACTACGAAACGAGAATCACTACTCTGTTAATATTCAACTTTGTGTCCCGTGTTATATTACAATGCATGCATGTAGCCTCTACTCTCTGCGATGCTACTTCCTTATCTAGCAAATAAAATAAAATGTCAACTTGTCTGGTGGTGAATGTACAATCAATATAAGTATATATTGTCTCAGACTATGTGGGTGGTCTGTTTGGACCAACGGGACTGGTAGCTCGTCGCGAAAGATTCGCAGAGTCATAGGTCGAAAACAATAGTTAACTAAAGAAATGAATATTTCGATTAGTGAGGTGCATCTACGAACCGCAATTGTTATTAACCCACATACGCTACCATCAAACCAGAGTCGTGTCGATCACAGACAAATGGCAAACATTAAAAGAACTGAAAATACGCAGCCGCAGGTGAATGAAAGCGACCTGTATTGTGCGATTACGCCGAAAGGCATAACTTATTCATTTGGCTGTAAGTTGTACCTACTGAACAGGTTTGTCCAAGGCAGACGTCAATAGAAATATATAGAGCCATACTGAAATACGCTGGAGTGGCGCTCTACCATTCAAGAAGATCTGGCTTTAAATCACGGATAGTTTACAAAGCAGAAATCACCAAAGGTGCATAGCTTATACTAGCTGATTGAGATATTTAACAGAAGTGCGCCATATGTCAAACGATGTTTGCCTCGTTCGGCTTGTTGTTTTGTGCACCAGCATTTATCTTCCGCGCATATGTCCCTACTTGTAAGCTGGCCCATTCATTAGAGGCACTGGCCGGCGGCACTTGGACTCGTGTTCCTCACGCGGTCGTAAGTATCCGTGCATGTCGTATGATTCACTCATCACTTGAGAACCTAAGAAGGACTTACTTGTTATTATTTTCATTTTATTACGTCGAACAAAGCTAGTGCTCGCTGTTACGGTTGGCCTAAAGGCGTTCGTCGAGTTTTTGTTCCCGCTCGCTGAGATCAAAGTTTTGTTTCAGCTTTTCGAAGCAATCGTACCTCGTCGCCATTGTTTTTGTGCTCCGAAGTCTCATCTGTTTCGTTCGTTGTTGCGTATCATCTACCAAGCTTTTAATACTACTTTCGTTATCTAATTGGATACAGCCCAGTGGAAGGTTCGTGATGATATCGCTGCTGAATTTAACGACACAGCGGTCATCGTCGAGCGAAACCATTTCTACTCTGTTGTGTTCGACTATTCAGCTATTTCGACAGTGTCACTTTGACAGTCAGTCTCTAAATCTTCTTCTTTGCCGCGGCCATAGACCATTCATAACGATGGCACTACACAGCCGTTTTAGTGGCCGGTCCGTTTCTCGTTCGGATCCGCCAATTTATCAATCGACCTAACGATGGAGCATCTGAGCGATTCCGTCGTTATCGCCCGCATCTGGCAGGTCGGTGAGATCCAAGCTGATTTAGCTGTTTACAAAACAACTTATTAGGGTCTATCCATTCACCTGATCCATTGATTTAAGGAACTTTTTAGTAACCACTAATGCGAGCCGTTTAAGGGTTGCATATGAGGTGAAGCACGTCCATAATAATAGGGAATAGTCTTCCTGTGGGAAAACGAATGTAATGCTTCATTTACTGCGCGTTTTTTTTTTACTTGACAGATCTATTTCTGTTCGCTGCTTTTTTCTGGCTGAGATTTCAATACAGTCATACACCTTCAACGGCACCAGTTGCTAGATGACAAGCAAGATCCACTCATCCGTAATGTGCTTTGCTATAGTAAGCTCGTTAAGCAGACACAGTTGGTGTTCTCGGGCAGGTTGTTCAGGTATAGTTCGGTTTGTTGAATGGCCCGGCATCGATAGGTAGCGCTTAACATGCGAAATAATGAAAAACACTGTATTAACCGAATGGATCAGGGCTAAACTCGATTGATGGCACAATGCCTTTTTTTGCACCAATCAGTAGCGACAGCGGCGCTCTAATATTGTTCAGAAAGAAGACTAGGACATTTATACCGTCGCCCCTTTGACTTACAGGGTTGCCGGGTATCGGCATTTCTTGCCTGAGCCTTAGAGGACATTTTGTATCTATTAACACACGGCCTATATTCCTGAAAAATGCACTACAAATTGCTTCGTCGCGTCGCATAGTCGGCGGTTAGCAGCGGTATGTGTTACTGGGAACACTGCTGCTTTGAACTTAAGCAAAATTAACGTGTGTGTAAATGATTTTCTTTATTCGCTTGAGTTCTGCAAGTGTGGTTTTTGTCCTAATTAACGCATTCATCGAAGGTACAAAAATGTTACAGTGGGACAACTTCTAATCTTTATGCTTGTATATTGACAGTAGAAGATGGATGCCAGTTTACTTGACCATTACTCAGAAGGCAAGTAATAGCTCAATGAAACAACTTTGTTGCCTCACAATAGACTCTATTCTAACATTCCTGCTATTTGGGCTAAGTTTTTTCCGTATTACGCGCGTCACTGGTCCTGGCTCCCATCACATCTCGCCATTTTCGATATTACTCGTAGATTATACATGGTAGAAGTCAAGTTTCGTCAATAGCAACCTCATCCTGCTATGTCAGGCCTTTTGGATAGACAATTTTCGAGCAGCTAACTCCCACCTTAAAATGAAACATGCGGTGACCGTTGAGAATCTCTTTGCGCCGTGTGGCCCGTACTGTGCCGCTGCAGTCGCGTTCCGTACCACGATGACTTTACATATATATGGACGTTTTCGGTCGCCGTTACGTCCTCCTACATGATCACCCCTTCCTCCCCCCCTCCCCTCCCCTCCGCCCGAATTACCGAACCCTCAGCTAAAAATATGCTATCTCCGTCTGACACGATCTCATCCGGCTGTGCAGTCCTTCGACCTCGCGGCCAGATCAAGCGTGTCTTCTACAACGGCCACCTGACTCTATTGCCTGAGTCAGAGTTCTTGGCTACAGCCAGCCATTTACAACACAGTCTGTGACAACGACAGCATCTCGATCGTCCATGTACATTTGGTGAAAAACCCGAGCCGCGGAGACCAAACCGGCATCTCCGGATTTTGAAACCCGACAGCTTTTCAAATCGACGGTTGGAATCGCTCTTCAGCAGAGAACAAGGGGGAACGCGACGGGACTGCGGTTCGACTTCTGCGGTGGGCCAGCGGAAGTGGTTTTTTTTGTTGCATCCTCTTAAGTGCTTGTAGTAATAGAGAGTAACAGTAAGTAACGTTTAGCTGATCCGTTCAACTTATCCCGCAGCCGAATCAGAGGACGAGTCTGTCCGTCTCTTGCATACCGTTTATAATTATTTCAACCTTCAGACTTGACAAAAGTGCAAGTGGAAGTTGGCAAAAATACATGTACGACCAGCAACCTATTATCGATGCTCTTTGCACTCGTGTCTGTGTCGCTATAGGAGCTCAAAGAAACAATAATGGAAGAGCGTATTAACAAACAAAGGCTTATTGCTAATGTCTCTATAAAGCTACTTACTAATTGTACTTAGAATAGACATTTGATGATGGTCGGAACAATGTATTTCCTCTAGATAGTGCATCGTCAAGTTACAATATACTACATCTTTTGATTACTAAAACAGTTTGTGACTCCAATGTAATTATATGTAGCGAAGATTTGCTCCTGCTCTGTAATGACCTGTACGCGCAACCTGTAGTGCCATCGATTGTTCAAGCCCTATGCGTTCAGCTTGCGGGTTTGGAGCGCTTCTTCGACCATCGATTACTCGTGGCTCTAAAAAGTCACATCAGCACAAAGGTATACTTGACTCAGCGGAAGCTCATGAGACCCACCTGTCCGCATATGCGGGTATACTTCGAAAGCCGCTCACCAGATTGTGCAGGCTATTTGCCTATCAGAACGTACTGGGCTGTCTGGCAAGGTCATTTGCAGGATGTGAGCTGTCATGGCATACTTGCAGATGTAATCAGGAATTGAACACATCAACGATACCTGTGACCTATTCATGTAGTTACATTTATACCTAAATTCAATTGTCCGACACTTGGCACTGACTTTAAATTCAACCAAAAGAATATAGGAAATTGATGGAAAGGATTGTCTCACGATCCGGGCGAGGTTTCAGCCCACGAAAGTGATATTCTAGTAAATATTGCGCTCGACCCACTTTCCATAGAGGGATTCAATGTACTTGATACATTGATAATATAACTGATAATAGATTGCTAATGTTTCCCGCCATATAGTAATCCGGCAAGATTTATGGGAATACGATTTTTCTTTGTTTATTAAATAACTTATCTATCTTCAGATTCTTCTTCTATCTTCAGAAGAAGAGCTTCTGACTGAATTGACTATTGCTTGTTTCTAATTCGTTTCCTGCAAACGTATGCGTGTATAATAGTACAACTATGTAAATATATTTGTTGACCAGGATTCGGGAAGAGGTCAGAGTATATTCCAGGATTCTAGGATATGGAAGTTAGAGAGCACTGTATAGTCCGACGGAGTCTTTCAAAATTAAACATCCAAACATATGCACAGTACAATGTAAGCGAAAAATGTAACTCTCTAGGTTGGAATATATGATCTTCGAAAAATTCGAGTATCGGGTAATATTCATTATGCAGTAAGCTTTACGGAACGATAACCATAGTGGTAAACGCAGGTAAAGGCTGCGTATTAACTAACGCACTTACGTGATAATTTCCGCATTTTACTATTATCTAAAATAACAATTTGGGAAAACTAATATAAAAGATCGAAACGGGTTCGAATTAGGAGAAAACCTGAGTGAGGCTTATTAGAAAAGCCGCAGAAGGAGTTGCTGAAAAATAAACAACAGGCAACTATATTCCCTACGCCTCAACGTGTACGCATCAGGAAGCATTGTATAGCACGAACAAAAAATCGAAATGGTTTTCGTTATCACCTAATTACTTACTGAAGATATTCTATTAGGGTGATCTGCAGATAGCAACTAGCAGAAGCAGGTAATATTGAATCGAGTTTTTACTGGGCGAACCTTTGTATAGAGCGTTAGTGCTAGCATGTCGAGGTCGTGCTGACCAGCAACTTCAATACACAGTATACTCTCTGATTAGCAAATGACAGATCGAATAAACGATGGAAGCTTTACCAAACCAACTTCCAACGTTGCTAAACACTTACACACATACAAAAAAAAGTATGTGTCAACTTGATCCTGCAGCCACATCTAATTAACAATGAATTTTTCATACAAAAATGTACGCTAGTTCGAAACCAGTTTTACCTTCTTGTAGATCATTTACGCCATCTCTCAGCTGTCGTTTGCTGCTGCTAAGCAGACGTCCGTCATGCGCAAGCATTTGTTATCATACAATTTCACCCATGCCGACATTATCACGTTTCTACTCGGCAGAGCTATTTATACTGAAGCTTGCTGAGGATTCAAGAACTTCTGTTTTATTCTACGCCAACTCATACCCCCCGCTCCATAAGCTTATAACCACACATGTACACCGACGAGGTCGTTCGCTTAACACTCTCTTACAGCCTCATTGCTTAATTAAATCCGGCCGTAGACTTACAACATATGTTAGCCATCGTTTAGCTCTTCTGTGAGCAACAAATATATTTTGAAACGGCTTGTTTCGATGCTACTAATCTATTATTGAGTTGTGCATATGCCGCCGCCGCCATTGCGGCAAAGGTTCGCAATTGCGACACGTACCAAGTTACGAGCTCTTTTGCAAGGTTGGCCTCGTGTGTTAGTCTATACAAATATACGATTTTGTATCCATCTTAGCTTGCTTGTTTACGGACATAAGTTATCCCATAGACAGTTGTATGGCTCTGCTACGAAGACGGTGGGTTCCATGGTTTCACTAGTCAATTACGGAACAGCTTAGCAAATGTGGTTGGATGGTACGCATCATGTGGGAACGAGCAGTCGTTGACGCAGACCGCTCGTTTTCAAACCGAGCTAGCCTAAGATATAACAGGATGACAACTTTTCGTTTAATATTTCGTGTGTCCTTGTCAAAATCAATCGACCGAAGTATGTCCCGTGGCCGTTAAGCTTTGATCGACTATAGTTGATTTGTGTTTGACCGGTCTACGGAACTGGTCGCAGAGGGAGCTTTATCCTATAGCATATGTTACGTTTCGTGGTGTCTGAAAGCCCGCTTACACAACTTTGCGAACGAGTCTCGCCAAACTCCTGTCTGATGTGCAGCGTGAAATGCGACATACGTTCGTAGACGCAAGAAAATTGTTTAAAGTCGTAGTCCGAAGTTGAAGTCGTCACTGTTCTGAAGCGTTCAAGTCACACAAATAGCTACTACACTAAGGGGACCGTCAGATGTTCGTTTTAAGGGAATATATGTGTACGGGACGCCATTTTTCAATCATAACCCATACAAGCTCAGTCATTATGAATTGGCGAAAATGAGCTGTTCTAATAAGCATCAGATTCGTATAGATATCGTTACAAACAGTAAATCTACACACGCTGTCGATCTTTCCGTGAATACCACTCATAGACGCTAATAATATTCGGTGCTTCGTCTTGAAATTCGTTAGTAGCGCTTCAATTTAAAGCCCTATACCGACAATCGGGCCATTTTCAGGCCCGGGAAATACAAATAAGTAGACGTGTTGCAAAAACTCCGTACACTTTTTTTCGAGACGAAATTTTCAAAAGATATTTTTTTGTTTGCGAAACGAGACATACAATATCATCGAAATAGCCAAAATAATGTTCTATGTTAGATTCATTACATTATTTAAGATACTTACTTTTTTCATTCAAGGGTTAGTCGTGAGTCACTATCTGTAGTGACCTAACTTATGGTGGGGTTTACGGCTCCAGTCCGCTTTCTAACATCTCATTCTTTGTACGAACTGTTCGTAGTACTACGAGACTGTCGAACGCGCAGATACGAGGCATGGGTTCGGTGTGTGTAGTCGCTACCTCACCAATAGCAGGTTTCTGGAATGAAGTCATTGGTTATTCCATGTAAATAAATCCAGCACAAGCTCTTACACGAAAAGTATCTTACCAGCAGAAATACGGTGTTCTAGCCAGCTATCGCTCTCACACTTTGGAGTACTGCTTACTTAGAGTACGTAACTGCCTAACAGACTGCGGCCGTCCCTCGTGGCGCCATTAACGACTAACAGCGTCTACTAGCGTTATCAACCGTCAACATCATTATTATCAGATTAAGCAGAACAGCAATGGGGGAATCTGCCTATTTTTCTTCTTTCAGATTATCATTTGCTTTTTTTTTTGTCTAAAAACAACGCAATTTACTAGTAAGTCACCATTGTCCAACGGTTACCGGGCGCGTCATCCTCTCAAGAGAATTCCAGAAGGGATTTTTGAAGAGAGAGAAATGTTGTCGCTGTCACCCAGTCCGTCTTATCGTCATCCTGTCCTTCCTCACAACGGCCATAGCTGCCGCGCGACGGCCATGGCAAATACCCCACTACGTATACGATGATATTTTACTTTTTGTTATTTCCCTAATGATTTCCTCAGCACGGCTGCTGCATTGTTTAGTGCAGTAGGTTTACCAGGGTGAGCGAGCGACGTGAGGATAATATACGCCCGCCCCGTGTGGGGGGTTAGCGTTTCCATCATTCAATATGTTTTAGTGTTTGTTTATGGGTGAGCGTCTCTATCTCTTTTGCCCTCTTGGTATAGGCGAGGTATGCTTTCAAACGTGTACGAAGTCGTCCTTCCTATTACACAGCTTTTTTTACACAACTATGTATGTACAGCCATAGAAAGGGTGGTTATGAGCTAGCTGTCTATCTATCTCCAGTCGTTTTGTATTTCGTTGAGCATAAAATGCTCGACGATTCGGGTAATGCATGGTGGGTATAAACTCGTTTTTGGTGGACTCGCGAGCAAGGTGTCATACCCATCCATGGCAAGCGACCAGTCAGCCGCAACGCCTGCGATCGGTAGCAGTCGTCGCGGTCGTAGCGTTTGCAGAGCTAGCGGTGGCAACTTCTTAACGTGATGATGGTAGCTATGTCGGGCAGTGGACAGTGCCGTGAGAACAATTCCGACGATTAAAAGACACGAGGCAAGGAGTTACTTCCTTTTTGCCGCGACTTTTGCTTGAATACTAGTGTTTTTTAGACCGCTTGATTTTCTTTCTATCCCCTAATATTAATGTACCTGTGTGTGTGCGAATGTAAGTGTCTGAGTATATCCGTATCGTCATTCTGTGTATATCTACATATCCGTGGCCAGATATTAGTGTGTAATAGTATAAGTTACGGCTTCCGTGCCATAAACGGCGAACCTTTGGAAGAGCTCGAGTCCTGCTAAGGGTCAAGGGAACGAGATATCAACTTATAGATTACTACCGCTGCTGCTATCATAATAGTGGCATATCACTATAATGAACGTCGTCTGACGTAGCGGTGAAGCGTTAACTGTCCTTTCATTTTGTCTTTCACTGCTTCCTTTATTATGGGGCTTTTTCCGCCGGCGCCGTTATTTGCTGCTGATTGATAAGGCTCCATAGTCACACTGACACTTCCGATTATGAGCTATAGTCCACAAACGCAACATACTTTCGAAGTCACATTCGAATGCACGCCCATACTCGCACAAAACCACACGCATAGTGCTATGAAAGAGCACGTAGAACTGTTTCTTTTGTCCCTTGTTTTTTTCACAGCTACTGCTGTTGCTGCGTCCTTGTATTATCAACCATTGCCACTAACGAAGTGTTTTTTCCTATTGTATGGCCTCGCTGTTCGTCTTGCCGCAAAACACGTTTGCCATCTTTACATGGGTCGCTGTTGCTCTTATTGCTTCTATACTGATACTGTAGTATGACAATTAGCCTACAATCAACAATACTGTTGCGGTACAGCGATAACTAGTACCGAAAACACACAAATGACTGTATGTATTATCTAATAAGTACCTCGTGAACGTTCACGTCATAATAATACGTCGCAATAAACGTAATTAACAGGCTAGTTTCATACGAATGAGGACGGGGGAAGATCATAATGACTCGAATGTTACTAGTATCGTACTCTGGTTTTGGGGCAGAACTTTCGTAGTTAGTAGACGAGATACGAGAAGTACCTCGATTTTGATACAGCTCATCCGGTTAGTTTTGTCTTCGTTACTTTTTGGCAGCCTATTCCCGCCGAAGGTTGTTATGCGACTCTTGTCCTGCGATGCAATTAGTGGCCTGTGTGCAGTTGTATACACTCGATCTCGTATCCGCTGTCGTATTTAGCCAGGCTGAGTACAAGAGACCGACGACAAGGTTGAAGTGGAAATGAGCAAGAGAAGCGGACCTAGCCGAGGATAGCTTAAGGAGGTTGTTTGAGAGCTGTTTTATGTCTCGTGTTCCCAGCCTGATAAGCAGCAGCAGCAAGCTGATAAGTTCCCCAAAAGTTCCTCCGCGTGCTCCGTTTTAACTCAAAGCAAAGGTACGCCTTGATATGACCCTGCAGCCTAGATATCCGTCAAGAGACGCCTGGGCGATGCGCGTTGGATACAAATGAGAGAATGTGTACTGGTATCACTATTCGTTTAAGAGTAACGCGGCCAAGCGGTGCTTTAATTAACGAAAGAGATAAAAATTGTACACCCCTAATTTAAAAAATGACAACAGGCTTTTTACAGAAGTGCATTCATCGACTATGTTAAGCCTTGCTTCATACATCGTGCAGAGTAACTGCGTACTTACTTGGTGATGTTTGTAAGACTTTCGTGATTTACTTGAGTCTGGTACGCATCTGCATAAACGAAATTTGTCGTAGCATTCATTTGATCAAGACAAGGGGACATTTTTTCGTTTCTTCAAACTTGTTCGATGGGTTTATGCCCACCTCTCTCTTTGTTAGTAGATCGAATCGAGAAGTACATCTATGTGAAACAATGTGAACCTAAAACCATGATGGTAGACCATATTAATTACTTAATTATTAAAGGCATAATTATGAATGATATCTAACTCTTTCAACATAAATGAGAAGCAATGTTTTTGGTCCAATTTGCGCAGAATCGCAATGTTGCGTTTTTTTACCAAGTTATCACACAACCTATGGGGGTAATCAGACTAGTAGTTCGGACAAGCTGATGCGAATCTGAGCAGAAGATGTCTGACTCTTTAACGCCATTCAAATTTCAGAGTCACAGCTCTTGCAGACGTTTTCGAGAGTATCGATGTAGTGTGCGAACTCCCGCACAGCTCATCTGTCTATAGCTACACTCTCTGTCAGTGCCTCACTAAACTCCAAGCAAAATTCTGTTGAAAATGAATGGCCAGAGTGTGCGCAGGCTCGGACTGGCTGGGTGGGAGTGGAGCCCGCCGCTCGTTACCGGGAAGTCACAGAGTGCTCCGGGAAACGCGCTAGGTGGCCAAAGGCAAACCTGCAAATGACAACCTCATCATGACGGAAAGAGCGCAACAGGCCTAGAAAAAGGCTCGACCGCATTACAGACAGGACCACATCCGATCGAGGGCAGCGTTCATCATCGACAGAACGAATGCTGTTGTTTGTTGCTAGTTGCTAACAAATGATATAACTATAAATTATATCGACGGCAAACGACGCTGGATTCGTCTTGGTGGTGATGGAACACATCGACGAACCTCAAATTTCAGGTCATGTCTATCCCGTCAATCCATAACAAATTTACAAACGCCAGAGTTTATTTTGCACTTCTTTCCTACTATCTAGTTATACTTTTGCATTTCGAACGCTGGCAGGAATCTGGATAGAAGACACTGTTCCAGATGTCTCATCGTGATGTCCGATTATTCCACTAACATACGACTTCTCAATTGTCGTAGTTTCATCATGTCTGAAAGTTGTTTGGCTTATTCCGCCCGCAAGGGACTAACATTAATAATAAAGTGTAATTTTCGTTTAAATAAAAAATCGTAAAATGCAAGATGGCAGAGCGCACATATGAGTCTATTGATCGGATTTATCTGGATTAAATGACAGCGAACCAGGTATGTAGGTTGCGGAGAAAACATCGTGTAGCTTTGAATAAGAACATACGAAGGCCGCATAGTCACGGTTGGGATCACGTGTTTGTGCGCCTCAATCCTTTTGGAATGTGAGACAAAACATGAACAGGTCTACACCGCATTATGGACACTTCGTATCGATAGCGTCCCTTTCCTTGACTTCATTGATTTATTATAGAAAAAAATAAAGAAACTCAATTTACGTGGCAACAGCTTATGCATGCGGGTAATCCTATGTCATCCAACAGTTCTACCAAATAAACAATGAGTTCATTAAGTCTTATAATTTACAGGCATCAAACGCCGTGTACGTTCAATGTGACGCTTTTCGTAGCCTTCTATATGACAAGGTGGCGGCCCAAAGCAATGAATACGATTGTTATATATCTGCTATTCCATAGAATCATGCGATACTGTTCAAGCTATTCGGTCACAAATGTTCATTAAATTAAGCTGAACTTTTGCGTAGTCGAATGACTAGTAATATCATCATAAACGGTTCAACTTGGCTTTATCCTGCATTACGTAGACTGAAGCCAGTTCCAAGACAGACAACGTTTCACATCACAGCTTGTCCTTCCTTTTATATCGTACGGACGGCCGGCGATGCCTGCCTCTTGCGATTTATCCGTAAAGGGAAACGAGAGATATATGATAATCTATCGAACAGTTCGCCAGTGAGCACGTATTTGCTCGACTACTAAGAGAAAAGCTTTGGAGGAACCGCATATTGTTTCGACAAACGATAGCAATCACGAGACAAGTATTGATTATTGCTTTCATCGCATCGTCGTCTAATTTTTACCGCTACCCGCCGTTTGCCTATGATGGACCTCGTTGCGCATAAAAACACTTCGCAGACAGGTGCTACCTAATGGAGTACTGCGTTTCACCTATTCGGTAGCTGCTATTTTTTTTTTGTAACGCAGATGCAGCTTCTTGCAAACCGGCATTATGGAATTGGCCATATGACTGTGTCGTGTTGTCGGCGATGTCGAGTTCACTACTATGAATACTTTTCATTCAGTATAAAACAGAATCAATGACTTCAAGAAGAATCAATATATCCGCGTCTACCAATAAGTCTTTTCACAAAACATATTTGTTCATGATTTACT